TTTTTGGGAGTGTGTATATGAGCGTGAGAATGTCTGAGTGTGTGAGATTGTGTGTGTCTGTCAGTGTTTTTGAGGGCCCATTCACATGGAACAGTCCTGTGCGATTAACGCACTGTATGATGCAGTCGTACCTACTACGTGTTCTGGTGCAGGAGGTGCTTTGCGTTGCCATTCATCACCACCACCTCCCGCCCACAGTTCAATCGCCTGCACCGGGACGGGCCGCAATGCCGTGTGTTTCATTGCAGTGCGACTTGTGTCGCAACTTTAGGACCAAGGACAAATGTGGCTCCTGAAGTTACACAGGTTGAGAATCACTGATCTAAACTGATGGGCAGTAAAAGCTTTTAAAGCATGGCCTATAGACAATTCTGAGTACCATAGTTTTTTGCCATTTCATGGGCATGTGCAGTTTTAATGCTTAACATGTTTGGTATCTATTTACTCGATGTAACCCCAACTTTTTTAATTTAATCCTACCCCCAAAAAAAGGGTAATAAATTGCGTTTGTGTTCACTAAAATTCATTTAAGTGTTTTTTCCCTAAAAATATCAATTTGATAAACATTTGGGCAGCTATTGTGCGACATAAAAAAAAGCAGCTACTATTTTTTATTCTACAGTGCCTCTACTTTCAGAAAAAAAAGTAATTTTCTATCGAAAAATCCAGATTGTAGTGTGTGGAAAAATCACAAAATTGCTTCGGTATTGAGGTGGTGAAAGATAAGCCCATTTTTATTGAAGATCACCTTTAAAAAACAGAGGTAAATGAAATGCTAAGTTTACCCAACACTATTCAGTTTAGGTTGTATGTTCAGTGTCATACCGGCTTTTCACAAAACCCCGGCATTGACAGTGATGTATGTGGTTCAACATTAAAGTAACAATGGAGAAAATTGCAGCGGCTGGATACAACCACTTCTTGGCAAGCATACATGTTTATGTAAAAGGAGGCAGGAGGGGGAGCATGCCCATCCACCATGGATGCCCAGCCTATCTCAATGAGATGAGAAGGAGGGACCAGTAGGTAATGGCCAAATCAACCAAAATGGCTGATCTCCTATTTATGGCCACCTTTATTATTATTATTATACAGCATTTATATAGCGCCAACAGTTTGCGCAGCGCTTTACAATATAAGGAAGACATTACAATCACAATACACAGGGCCAGATTTGCTCTCCCTGCCGCCCCAAAGCCAGGTTCAGCAATGCGCCCCCTCCCCGCCAACCAGCCCCCCTCAATCAACGGAGAATGGGAACGGATGGCAGGGGCGGCAGGGTTAGTTCTAATCTTTTTTCTTTATTTTCTCTTACTTTTTTATCACTTTTTTTTTTTTATTATTGATTTTTTACATTTTTAGCTTGTTTTATTTATTTATAATTTTCTATCTTATTGTTATGGCGGGGGGGGCTGCACACATATTACAAGTGATCGCGGCGAAATCGCCGCAATCACTTGTAAACGAACGGCCGGATTCCCCACTTACCGCCCGGAACTACATGTTCCGGGCGTCGGGGGACACCACGACGATGCCGCCCCTCTGCTACGTGCCGCCCCGTGGCCCGGCCTCGGTGGCCTTGTGGGGAATCCGGGCCTGACAATACAATTCAAGACAATATGGTAAGGCGGGCCCTGCCCGTGAGAGCTTACATTCTAAAAGGGAGGGGGAAGTAATACATGAGGAGGTAGCTGTTTGGGGGATGAATTGTTTGAGAATGTGATGGTTGAGCAGTTAGGTTGAGGTGGGACCTTTATGCCTTAAAAGATATTTATAGTGGATGTGGTCTGTTTAATTGTTGTTTCTAAAGAGGAACTTCACCCATATCTCAAAAATGACCTCAAAGGCACATACGGAAATGTTTAGTAATGGCAATCTACACACACAAGTACCTATTAGAAAATTGCTGGCCTTTTATTCTTTGCATACCTTATTCTTCTTTTCCTCCCCATTCTTCTTCATGGCGGCCATTTTCACTATGGGCAGATGAATCCATCTCCCTTTAGTTCCTGGAGCTCAGGATCTGCCTCCTGGAGCATGCAGTCCTTTTTTTTTTCAGCACACATCCCTGCAACGCACAACTTTGTGGTGGTGTGAACTGTGCCCATCCGTGACCAGGCAAATTGTGTTGGCGCTGCACCGGCCTACGCATTTAATGTGAATCAGACCTACGTGTATTGTGCCCGGAGTTGAGCTTTTAAGCCATAGAACACTTGGTAATATGTACAATGACTGTCATTTTATAAACTACCTGTCCGCCTCCCTGCCGTTTTTGACGCGTACTTACAAGATAGAGGGTATATGAAAGTTAGACCATCTTGAGGGCGTTGCATAAAAATATTTCTACTTTTAGTGGTCAATAAGCTCAGCATTTCAGATTCATCTGAATTCATTCTGTTTCTGTTGTAGGAAGGCAAAATAAGCATACCATGAAATTATGACGTAAAGATTTCCATTGTTCCAGAATTGCCTCATTTTTATGTTTTCTAAAAATAAAGATGTAAAGATGAATTTGAAAGTATTATGTTTTCCATTTCTTATTACAAAGCAGTTTCTACAAATTGTATCAGTTATTTGACTATTAATTCGCATCATTTGCTGTAGTTTAAATATAATGGGAGAGATTTATCAACTTTTCCGCACAGCAAGGCGGTGAACACTGCAGCACTAATAAATTTTATAAGACAGATTTGTTATAGGATCACAGCTTGATGAAAACATTATTCCATCTGGAGCTTAAAAGTACCACTGTATTAATACAGAACATATACTGTCACCTTATTATAAGCAATAGGGGTTTGTTTTAAAGGATAAGTGCACTTTCATACGTGTGCCATTCATTTTTGCGTACATAATCCAATTAATTATTTGCCTTCAAAGTGAGAACATATTAAAGTACTTAAAGGAGAACTATGGGGTTAGGGCTTTTCCCCATAGTTCTCCTAAGGCTAACGGGAGGACACAAACTAGCGTCCTCCCGTCACCCTAAGCTCAGTATACCGCGAGCAAGAGCTCGCGGTATACTGAGACGCCGCAGCTGAAACGGATCCCGACAATTATGTCCGACAATTATCCCGACAGCTGCGTGAGTGACCGCCCCCTACCCGTCCCCTCCCCCGTCCGTTCTGCCAGTCAGCGCTGGAGGATCGGAGGGGGGAATCCAGTCCCTCCCCTGTCACGGCTCTCTGCCGTGAGAAGTGAGCGAGCGCCGGTATGTGTTCGCTCACCTCCCGATCTACTGAGCCGACCTGTGACAGTTTCATTGTCACAGGTCGGCTAGAACTATGAGGATGAGTGAAAAGCACTCACCTCACCTCATATTCTGGAGAGGGTCTATATCCGTTGTTCTCAACTGGTGGGTCATGACCCAAAAGTAGGTCACGTCCCCATGTGCCTTCCACTGTGCTAGGTTGAGAGGCTTCCCAGTCTCCCCATAGAGCAGCACTGTCAGTTCCCGCGCCGAGCAGCCATTTAAAATATGCTGCCTGGCACCAAGTTTCAGCCTCAGGTTGGGTGGGCAGGGAGTGTGGCTGCGAGGGAGCTCCATCCATACATGCATCGCGTACAGCTCCCTCACGTGCCCTGTAGAGGTGCCTGGCCCGGAGTGACATCACATTCTGGCTCCCGGCACCTCTACATGGCAAGCAAGGGAGCTGTACCAGCAATGCACATGTGAATGGAGCTCCGTCACAACACAGCAGCCCACACTGGACCTCAGGCTGAGGATCCAGTTCTCGTAAGGTAGGGAGACTGGGTGGATCTTTAAAAAAAAAAAGAATTTTTTTTTTTTGCAGTGTGTACATGTGTGTGTGTTTGAGAATGTCTATAAGTGTGCAACATTGTGTCTGTGGTTGTGTGTGTGTTGTGTGTTTTTAAGTGCCAGTCCACACTAGTACAGTGCATTAAATCACAGAGTCCTGTGTGAATAATGCACTGTACCATGCAATTGCACCTAGCGCACGTTCTGGGGTGGGAGGTGCGTCACAATTTATTTAAATGGCACGCCAAATGCACCTCCCACCCACAGTTCGATCACCAGCACTACAACACGCACTACTGCGACTTGGGTCATGATCTAATGACCAATTTCAAATGTGGGTCCTGAGGTTACACTGGTTGAGAACACTGGTCTGTATTATAGTACAGCCTACTTGTCCTTTGATGTGGTGGCTGCATTAGTTCTTTATTTAAAGCCTGAAACAAAAGAGAAGTAAGAGGATTTCATTGTTGGGGTTTACATCATACACGGTAGGGAAAGCCGCTGACTGTGTGCTGCCTCTCCAATTACCCCACCCTGCTTAGTGAATTCTTTCTCATGTATTAAAGGTGTTCTTACACCCAAAAAAAATGCTAAAAAAACATTTGAACAGAAAATAAGAAAATACCTCCGATCCTGGCTTGCCAGCCATTTCCCAAATGGCCGGTGATGCAGCTGTGCTTCACCGTCGCCCCCTGGGAAATCAATCAGCACTGGAAATCCCGCAAGAATGCGCTCCTGCGTTGTGCGCGTTCTTGCAGGATTTGTTTGCGTTTTTGCTTTGACCAGTTTGTAAGAATATTCAAAGAATTGAATTGGTATAATATTACATCATGCTCTGTACAAAGCCTGAATTTTGCTAAATAAGTAGTCGTTACATAACAGCAAAACATTTCATCATTGCTTGAATGTTAAAAACAGGAAAGGATTGCAGAACAAGTATTGGTTTCTAAAAAGGAAATCGCACTATTGCTGCAATAACCCCCAAAAAAACCGTTTTATGTGCTATGTAATGTATAGTCTTAGATTTTTTTATGATAATGATGGCACAACAGTAGAATATTCCTCTTTGATGTTTCTGTATAAGAAGACTTATTAAAAGAGATTTCTTTTTGGAATCAAATGTGACCGTGGTTTTGAGTATACAGTGTATCTGAAAGAGGAACTGATTGTGTTGCCTACAACAATCTATTTTTCATATATGCCCTCCTCCCTAAGGGCTAGTTCACAGGGGCGGTAAAACATGCAGTTGGTCACTCTTATTCCACGCCCAACCATCCACTTAATCCCTTACATGGCAGCCGCTCAGGTATGTACAAATGCCGTGCCAAATTCTATATAGCATGCCTTGCCTCTTGCCAAAAGTGACCATTGCAGTCGATTTGACCGCACTCCAACAGTGTCCCAACTGCTTGGCATGCTTTGGTGAAGGGGCACTGCAATGCAGAATCCCCATTGGGATTAAAAAACACAACAGGCGCTCAGGAGTCGCCGGTATTGACGACTGAACACCAGTAAACTGCCCTATGAAAAGTGATCCGTTGCAGATTGGATTGGTAAAATGAATGACTGGATCCCAGTAAGTTTGTGTGGAAACCTACGTGGTAACGCATGTTGCCTGATTGGAGACTGATCGTGTTATTTCTTTTTCAATTGCAAAGTTTTTATTGCGTTTTCAAACAAAAATATAGACATGGTAAAGATGATAGAAAACAATCGGTATACAAAGTATTGAGGAAAGACACGGCACAATAGAAGACATAATCCGTGAATCGTATAGGACAACATAACGAACATAAGTACCCAGGAATGAGAATAATAACAAAAGTAAGGACACAAGAGTACCACTAGGTAGATGACGCATGTGCGTAAATTGTAAATAACCTTTACATTATGCCTGTGTCAGCATGGCGTAAAATCAAAATAAAAGTGTAAACTTCCAAGAGAGAGGAAAGAGAAAGAAAGGGCTAAGCCCAGAAAAATAGAAGTGTTGTTTCTTTTTCTGTTGAGGTAATTGAAAAATTAAGGTCAGCACCCTAGACATGCGGTATTAACCACTTGCTGTCCGGGGGATTTTCTTACTATTTACGCACACATGATAAAATACACATTTTTGGCTAGAAAACAGCTTGAAACCCCCAAACAATTATATATGTTCTGAAAGTAGAGGCCCTGTAGAATAAAAAAATGCTAGTTGCAATTTTTTATGTCGCACGTTTTTTGCGCAAATGTTTATCAAACCAGGATTTTTAGGAAAAAATAAACTAAACTAAAATTTAGTGCACAAAAACATAATATAATACCCAATTTTTGGGTAAAATATGAAAGACTGGATCACGCTGGGTAAATTGATATCAAACATGTCAAGCCTTAAAATTGCGTTCGCCTGTGAAGCCACAAAAAAGTCAATACCCAAAATACCGCACTGTGCAAACGATCCGGCGGCTGTACAGACGCCGGATCGCTTGTACATTAACAGCAATCGCCTGCTGTTAAAAGCGGCACCAGTTCTTGTTTTAACCACTTCTGCGGGCCGCCATCTATAGACGTATCGTGGCCCAGAAGTGGTTAAGGAAATTGGTGTAAATGAGTCCCCCAAATATTGATGGGTTATTATCTCATGTTATGTAGCAACAATGCAAGACAACGTCTGGTGGAAATACAGTTACAGGATCTCCTCGCCTGAGTTCCCTGGAGTAAATTGATCCCTTAATACAAGTCAGATTCTCTTGCCATTGTATGTATACAAACAAACATTCATTTTATCAGCTTCCTGTCAACATATATATGAACATATTATTTTGATTTATTCCTATAAATAACTCATGCCGGACGGAGGGGGTGAGTGGAAGTTGTTGGAAACCCCCAGCATGATTAGAGAGGAACCAAGCAAGGCACTTTGTCTGATTTTGTGTGACAAGCATTCTATATGTGTATGAATCATTTCTGAGGAAGTGATCAGTTCCCAGGTGTGACTCAGAGAAAAACAATTATCCGTCAGCACCTCTCCCCCCATCACCAATTAGAATGTCTGAACTTCACCATATATGTTGTTTACTAACAGCTGTATAGGAATATCTTGATTCGTTTCCAGTGATCAGCGCCGATCATGACTCATTTTCTGCTCTGAATACATTAACAGGGAAGAGGGGTCACTTATTAGTGTCTGTAGAATCCCGAAAAATTGAAAATATGACTTCAGAATGTAAGACTCAGATCACACCAGTAATTTCACAGAGAAGTAAGATGTGCTGAGTGCTTGGCACAGACCACTGGGATGTGCACAGACCTAGACTGCATACCACTGAGCGAGCATCGTAAACAAGCCTGAGGGGCCTTTCCTTTTTAGATGATCACTTGTTAATGAGCTCCAACATTTTTTATATTATGCAACGTTCCCAATCTGAAAATCAAGGCACACTCTGTGACGCCTGGCCAAGTTTTGTCCCAGCTTGACCTTCCTCAGCCGTAATTTGTTTTTCCAGAGATTTCTGTTTTTTTATTATTTGCTTCTTGTAGAGATGACATTTATAGGTGAAATGTTATGTTCCCTTGGTGAAAGAAGCAGTATGACAGGCTGACTGTGAAGAAATAACAGTTTGGCGACCCCAAAGCTATACATGCATAGATGTGACATGTGCTGATGTGCAATTTGTCTCTGACAGCCAGTGATCCCCTTTTCAGCCCAACCTGATCTATCAAAGCATAATCAAGTGTGGTGGACAAGCTTGTTGATCATACAAAAGGTACAAAGGAAAAGAAGAACCTAGGTTCATCCACTTTTCAATGGACTAGCACAGATAATGTAGAAATGGTGCAGGGGCCCGGTAACAAAGGTCATTAGCGCACATTTCTGACGGGTTTTAACTAGGGATGCACGGAAATTTTGGCTAAAAATGGTTTTGTAGGTTACTTTTTCCAATCATGAATGAACAGGAAGTTATTTAGAGCAATTTGCTGCAAAGTTTCTTACCTAGAGATCTTTCAGTAACAGCATTTCCTATTGCAGGCTGACAGATGCTAAGCCACTGCCTCACAATTAGTAGCAGCATTGGAAGGCTACCGTATGTGCCCTTTAGTAAGCCATTGTGCTACCTATCTTATAGACCTGATAGGCAGCCAAACAGCCAATTGAGGGAGCGCACACGTCAGGATGACAATACTGCTCCTAATCACAAGGCAGTGGCTCAGCATTTGCCAACCTGCAAAAGGAAGTGCTGTAAAGGCCTGGTTCACACCTAGGTGGCAGTTTTTGCGCATTTGTACGCGTGGGTTCAGCATACCCGGATTTCCTGGGAAGCCGGTGTTCTGTCAACAGAACATCGGCGTCGCGCTCCCTTGCGACACTGCGAGGCAGCATGGCTTCCTAATTGGTCAGGAAGCCAGGCTGCCTCACAGTGTCTCTAAGCAGCGTGAAGCTGCTTCCTAGCCAATCAGGAAGCCGGGAGGTGGGTCATGACCTGCTGCCCAGCTTCCTGATTGGTCAGGAAGCAAGGCTGCCTCGCAGTGTCGCTTGGCAGCATGAAGCCGGCTTCCAAGCCAATCGGGAAGCCAGGAGGTGGGTCATGCCCGCCCAACTTCCTGATTCGCCGGGAAACCGGCTCTATGCTCCCTCGCAGCACTGCCGGCCAGAGGGAATCTCACTCTGACCGGCAGTTCCTGCATCGGGGTAAAATATCAGAGCATTCGGGCGAGTATGATTTCTTGCCGCAAATGCTCAGTATCGGCGCCGATCGTTGTTGGTGCAACCCTATCTGTGACCCAAAATTAGCATACTGTATTGTAGGCATATAACCCTCTGTAAGTTGACAGCGCAGAGCCGCACTGCAGCTCTCTCTAGAGCCAGAACCAGCTGTGCCCGCCCCCTCTCCAAGAGGTGGAGGATTAGAGACAGGGTGAAGGAGTCCCTGCGGGGAGCAGTGACTGACAGTGAGAGGGAGAAGCCGTGAGCTGAGCTATTAGCAGTTTGTGATCGCTCAGTTCTCAAGCTATAGAGCCAACATGTGACTGCTGCAGTGCCACACGGCGGCTCAAACTATTGGGAAAGGTTCGTTTTACCTCTCCTTTAAGGTTAACATTGATAAGTTTGTTCATTTAAAATTGTACGTTTTGAGCATGCAAATTTTTCTGCTCAGGTCCACTTTATAGGCTTGTTCACACCATCCCAACTGGGCTGTGTTGGACAGTGTGGCCCAACACTGTACAAACTCATAGACAAGGCAATTTGCCTTATGTCTTATTGGTGTGCGATCAAGAAAAGTAGGACAGGCTGCATTTATATGCAGCCTCTTGCGACAAGCTAGAACACATAACAATGCACTGCGGTGCAGTGCATAGATTTAAATGAAACATGTTGTGACATTTCAGTAAAGTTTTCCTTTAAAAAGGAAAAATAAACAGTGCACAACGCACATTGTATAACTTGCCTGTGATAGTGTGAATGGGCCATATAAGAAAAAATTGACTGTGTCTCTTTAACCAAAGATTGCACAGATCTAAATTCAGCTCAAGCTGGTACATTTTACTGACTGCATTAAAAGAATCGCATGATAAGCTTGTTTTTGAGACACATTTACAGTATTTCATTTATTACATTTCCCCATTTCTACATGTTTTTTAAAAAAAGTCCATGAAAATGTGGGTGATTCAAACCACATCCTCCAGCCATTTACACGGTGCTATGATTTTAAATCGGCCCTTATATAGAAACTATTGCATGCTTATAAATACTCTGTCTTCTCCAGATGGTTGCATGGTAACTTCTGATTACTGCAAAGTTCTGTTTTTAAAAATAAATTTAAAAAGAAAAAGGGTTAATCTGTCAATGTTGATTATGTTTAAAATGTTTATTATTTCCCATCTTTGGTCCTTACTGTGTCATGTGTCTACACAGGGTCTATGTCTTGGAATGGAGGAAGGAATTAATCTGAAAATTGTGGACATATCTGGTACCGATAGGGTACAAGAGGACATCACTGTGTCCATAAGTGCTGGTGGCACTTTCCGGGCACTGATGCATTCAACATCGCAGGAGACCAGCATGGCAACAGACACACAGACAGTTGAGTCAAGTACCAACAAGATTAAGAAACATGAACTGAAAATAATTGGAAATGATTTAGTAGCAGAAGATCCATATGGGAAGGGCAACGTGGAAGTCCAGAAGCCAAGCATCATTCCAAGTCAAGACAGCATGGACATAGAAGAGTCAAGTGTAATAAAGAATACAAATAACAGTGGAGATGGTGACCTTAGTGAAACACTTGATAGACCACAAAATCTGATCATAATACAGAGACTAGAAGATGAGGCTAATAATGAAGTATCAGTGAGTCTCATGTCTTCTACAAAGAACACAGAACAGCTTGACATTGAACAAAGTCCAATCAGCAAGGCCTTACAGGAAGTGACTCAATGCCTAATTATTGATAACCAACATTTGGAGAGAAACACAGACAAACCTATCACAAATCATACACAGAACAACCAAACTGATAGTAAAGAGAGAGATCCAGAAACCTGTTTTTACAAACAAGCCAATCAAGAAATAGTACCAGTGATGGCCTCTAATAACAATAGTATTCCTGGGACAAGAATCCAGGAGGTAACCAATAACATGAGTTCAGAAAGCTTAGTTCTGTTACCAACCACACACAATACCCCACAAGAGATGTTGTTGAAGGAGAATGGGCTTGGCGAACAAATTGCCTGGGAGCTAAGTGGCGTAAAAAATTGGGATTTGAACTGTTTGGGATATATTGAGTGCTTGATTTTTTGAATACTTGTTGTCTCCCTTCCTTTTTAGACCCTTTTTTAGTATTTAAAAACTCTTTTAAGTGGGGACAATCTACACCATGCGATAGGTGGCAACAGCATAAGCGCTATGGGTCCTGCTACAAAACAAAACGCCAACTATATGATCAGACAGGTGCCAGACGTCCACATGCATCATGACTACACCGTATGTGTTTTTATTTTGTACTATTGTTTACTGCTTTTCAGTTTTTCAAGCTGAATCCTGCACAGAACTGTGATCTAGAAAGAAAGAATGTGGCACACTTGATTCATTATGTTGTTATATTTTCCATCAGCTGATTCAACAAATTGTCATGAAGACAAATATGTGTAATCTTTGCAGTTTTGCTCACTAGTTTCTGCCTGGTATGCTAATGGAAAAGACCTCAAAATGTCACGAAGCCACGGTCTTAACCCTTTGAGAAAAACAGGTCTTTGAGGGTGAATCTGTCCATGTGATAATGTATATGTTAGAAAGACTATAGGAGCAGATGTTTATGTCTGATAGTGCTGATTAAAGGGGTTTAATTGAAGTAAACGTTTTTATTTCTTGCAGCTTTGACCGCTTTTGATGAGCTAAAATTAAATTATATCTAAATTAAATTAAATCCCTGTCAGGTGTTTTTATGCTGCCTGTGTCCCATTGGGGAGATTGAGTAGAAATCTCTTCAAAGTAAAGGAAATCTCCTCCTAGAGAGTTGTCGCCAGAATAGGTGTCCTCATTGGAAGATATTTCCTTCTCTGTTCTGGTGACAATGCAAAACTTTGAGTTTTCCCTCACTTTCGGTCATGGTGACAGTGGTCAGCAGGGCACATAGAAAAAGCGGATCTCCCATCAAGGACACAGACCGCAATAAAAACCTAAGTACATGCAACAGAGGTGCTAGATTTCCTATTGTTAACATCCAGTGTAGTGAAAGACCGTCTCCTTATTCAAACTGACCTGCTTTGGTGAGGCACATGGCAGAGAACTCCCATGGGGTCAGGTGTCTTGAGAAAAGTCCAGTTATGTAAGAAACAGTAATGGCATCTCACCAATGGTCAAAATGGTATTTTATTAGATAATCAGTAAAATAAGAGAGCGCACACGTTTTCTAGGGTTCAGACACTTCTCGAGCACTTTCACAGCCAGTCAGCTACACGCTGCACAAACTGATGGTTGCAGGAACTTACTATATAAATACAATTAATATTCAAATACAGTCAGTCCTTCCTTCTGGAGGGTGGCTACGTTTTTTCCCCATGGTCTCTGTCTGTTATAAAGTAGCCACTGCTCCAATCTCATTCCCGTGATGGACTATAATTTCAATAAAATTAGTAAACTAAACGTGAGTTTGTAGTCCATTATGGGAATGTACTCATGGTACTTATCTGTATGTACCATGACATCTCTGAATTGGTGCTGACACTGTCCTTCCTTCCGGAGGGTGGTTACTTTTGTTCCTCATGGTCCCTGTGTGTGTTGTAACGTAGCCACCGTTCCGAGCTCCGATGGACCACAATGTCATGTTGAGTTTGCTAATTTGTATTGAGGTTGTAGTCCATCACGGGAGTGAGCTTGCAGCGGTGGATACTTTACAACACACACAGGGACCATGGGGAACAAAAGTAGCCACCCTCCAGAAGGAAGGACAGTGTCAGCACCGATTCAGAGATGCCTTGAAGATATACAGATAAGTACCATGGGGAACAAAAAGAGCCACCCTCTAGAAGGAAGGACAGTGTCAGCACCAATTCAGTGATGACAGTGAAGATATACAGCTGAGTGATACACAAATAAGATACATTGTTGTTAATAGTTAAAGGTACTTGGATGTATTTTTAAGATTTAACTTATGAGTTTAGTGTCACTGTAGGCCCTGATGAAGGGGGAGTGTCTGAACCTTTGAAACGCGTAGGCTTTCTCATTCTACTGATTATCTCGGAAAATACCACTGTAAAGGTGCCCATACACTTTACAACCATCGCACGACTTTCATCGTGCGATGGTTGTAAGGTAATTAAAAGCGCGTACGATCTGCCCATCTTGGACAGGCAGATCGTACTTGCGATCATCGAAAGCCCGCCCCACTGAGGGGAGGGCTTCCGATGACTGCATTGATGAGCGGTCTCCCGAGAACGCCACTAACCCGCCGAAAATCGTATGATTCTCGGCGGGTTTTCAAGCCTGCTCGGGAGACAAAAGACGTGCGACCTTACAGTAGAAACAGTCGCACGCCTTCCATCCACCTGCCGATTATAGCACGATCCCGGAATCAGCCACGATTATTGTGTGATAATCGGCAGGTGTATGGGCACCTTTAGAGTACCCTGGGATTTGCATACTTTACTTCTTTTGTGCCTCAGGAGCCCCAAAACAAATGATATTTTTAGTGAATTTTTAGAAGTAGATCCATGTGTTTGTGTATTTTAAGTTGTGGAATGGATTTCCAGCTAAAACATTTTTTCATCTTAAACAATATGTGGATGTGTTATAATGTCAGTGAGGTTTTTATTGCTGTCTTTGTTCCTGTCGGTGTTACTGCCTCTCAGTTCCTGTGCAATGGTACTGAGAAGTCACCCCCCTAAAGTTGAGTAATCCCACTTTTATCAGCTCTCATTAAGAATGGTGTCCCCTTTGGGATGTTTCCATTCACTTTTGGTGAGAGCTGTCCGTGGTGTGATTTTCTCTTCACCTTTTTGTCCAAATAACATCCTTTCCTACCTTGTCCAGATGGAGAAATCTTGGCCGGAGTTGCACTTTAATTGTATAGTTGGTTATGTTGTTGTTAATTTTATTTAAAATTAACCTGTTTACCCATGATGTTCTTAATTGCTTTTCTAGGGGGCAGTATCTAATGTACAGATGCTTTCCTGTCAGTCCAACTCATGTTCTGTACCTGGGGTGTGCAGCATCTGCCAGTCAGTCCTCACCCAGTCACCTCAAACCATCATCCTGCCCCCTGATGTCTCAGGAACTTCTTATCCTGTTAATTTTGTGGATCGCATTATTCATGGATCAAACAATCCTCAACTTATTCAAGGTACAGAGTGCATTTGAGATATTCTATTCCATCATGTGTCTGCTATATTTGTTTGTATTGTCAGCAACACCGTGACTCAAAACCACTTGTTCCAAGTTTACCCCAGACTGCTACTCAGTCTGTCCTCGTGTGAACTCTGCCATTCTGTAGCTTTGTATGTTTATTTAAACTGGTCCTGTGACCTGTGTAGTCAGTGGAAGATTAGAACAGTACACCGCGAGAAAGAGAAGCTGCAAAATGAAGTATGTGCTGAGAATATGTGGACTGAATAAATGAACATAAAGGATATATATATATTAGGGTTGCACAGATACTTTTCGAGTACCAGTGCCGATACTTGGCATTTTCTTGAGAACTACCAGGGTTGCAGCGGTTGCAGCTGGGACCTGGCTCTGGCGCTCCACCACTGTCCTGAAATCATTAGTCTGTATTGTTTTAGAAAAACTGTCACATGACAATAAACAAACATGTATCAGTACTCGTACTTGTAAGTACTCGGCAAGTATCAGTACTCGTACTCGCAAAACTGGTATCTGTGCATCACTTTATTTATATTTATAAAAACAAAATCGTACATTAATACAGAGATGTACAAATCCCAGGAGCTCCGTGTGCTCCTTACAAATGACAGCTGACTCCTAACCTCTGAATTTTTCTCTAGTCTAGTCTTGGAGCAGTCCCCCACAGCATTACACCACCACCACGAACTGTTTTTATACACGGTGGGATGGCTCCATGCTGTTAATGCCAAATTCTGCCCAGATCATTTGAATTTAGCAGGAGAAATCGAGACTCATCAGACCAAGCAACATTTTTCCAATTTTCTGTTGTACAATTTTGATGAGCTCTTGCAAATTGTAGCCTCAGTTTCCTTTACTTAGCCGATAGAAGTGGCACCCGGTATGGTCTTCTGCTGCTGCAGCCCATCTGATTCAAGGATTCATGTGTTGTGCGTACAGAGATGATATTCCGCATACCTCGGTTGTAACAACTAGTTATTTGAATTACTGTTGCCTTTCTATCAACTTGAACCAGTCTGGCCATTCTCCTCTGACCTCTAACATCAACAAAGCATTTTTGCCTAGAGAAGTGCCGCTCACTGGGTATTTTCTCTTTTTCAGATCATTTTCTGTAAACCCGAGAGATGGTTATGCATTAAAATCCCAGTAGATCAGCAGTTTCTAAAATACTCAGACCAGCCCGTATCGCACCAACGACCCTGCCACGTTCAAAGTCCCTTTTCTTCCCCATTCTGATGTTCAGTTTGAACTTCAGCAGATCGTCTTGACCATGTCTACATGCCTATGTGATTGGCTGATTAGATATTTGCGTTACTGAGTAGTCGAACAGACTACTAAAGTGGCCACTCAGTGTATATTAGTGTGAGCAATTATGTTGGTAGTAAGCAATATTCTTTACTGTGTCACCTTGTGTTTCTAATAAAAATGTTTCATTTTATTTTATTCTTATTTTCACTTAGCATAAACATTTTTATTAGAAACACAAGGTGACACAGTAAAGAATATTGCTTACTACCAAGCGCAACATAATTGCTCACACTATCACGGTTATACACATTGTTGCAGCTGGTGATTTTCACATTTTTTCCTAGCGCAACTAAATCGGTTTAAAGTCACTCAGTGTATATGTTAGCCACTTTTAGACATCATAGACACCACACACTGGTGAACTTAACTAGAAATGTTTTAGGCCAGGTAAGGGTAACATTTAACCCTAATGCCTAAATTAACCCCTGCCCCTAAACTAACCTAACCCTTTAGCTGAATGACCTCCTGCAGCAGAATACTTATATTATTCTACACCTGTTAGTAGCAGTGCCAAAAGCTACGTGCTCTCATTGTCTCAATAATTAAGAGTCAATGCCAAGAACCACCAAGCCGTTGTTCATTACAGATTTATTTCCCCATTGCCTGTTAGAACATGAAAGGGAAAGTTTGGTTGCCATAAGAAACGGCCCTGTTTTCCTTGTGTTGCAGTTTTAATAACTATGCCATTTTGGGTGTTTGTCATGTAATATACCATATTTTGCTTTTGGAATGTTGATTTCTGTTTATTTTGCTTCTAGGTTGTATTGTTGCTAGTTCTGAGGGCAGGAATTCTCAGATCACTCAGTACGTGATCTTGGAGGAACCAGAGAATGGTATGCATTACTTGTGTAGTGGCCACTTCACTAACTGTAGCATAAGACTAAATACATTTGTACACACACACACACACACACACACACACACACACACACACAGTGCAATATAAATGGGTAAGCCGTATTAGTCCAATAAGATGTGCAGTGTGCAATGATACCTTTCTTATTGGACTAACAAAATATATAAAAGACAAGCTTTGGAGAGTGAACCTCTCTTCTTCAGCTCAGAAGCAATACTAAGCAACATGACAGTTTGTCAGTTAAGACAGGAGAAAGCTATTAGGCTGCGTTCACACCTGACCGTTTTGTAGGGCGTTCTACGCTCGACGAACGCTCTACAAAACGGTCAAAAATATAAATTGCATTGTAGTCAATGCCCTCGTTCCCACCTCGCCGTATTTCCGCCCGTCCCTAACGCCCTACAAAACGGCCCACGCCTGAAAAGGTCCCGGGACTACTTTGGGCCGTTTTGTAGGGCGTTTTCCATTTGGATACAGTCAAGTAGCCTTTGGAATCGCGCGACGGTCGCAACTTTTTTACCGCGAATCGCGGTAAAAAACGCGTGACGTCGCGCATATTACAATACGCCTAGGTGTGAATGGGGTGTCAGAGAGGGGGGAGGGGGTTAGTGGGGTGTCATAAATGTGGGACCTGGAAGTAAAAAATGCCTTTTGATAATCAAAAGACAGAAAAAAATAAACGTAGGATGACAAATAAGCCAGGAAACCCAGGACGACCCATTATTACAGGTATGGAAACAATTACAGAACAAGTATCTGGCTTAGTTGAAAACATTCTAGTTATCAACACTGGGAGTTAAATGCAAGACACCACAGATTTTCTGAACAAACTGAGCCAAATCACTAACCTACCTGCTAATACTATACTTGTCACCATGGATGTGGAATCTTTGTACAGTAACATCCCCCATAAAGATGGTATTGAGGCCTGCACCAAATTCCTTTGCTCCCATAATGTCAGACAAAATATGATAGTGAAACCATCGCCAAACTCATTGAATTTATACTGACACACAACTACTTCAGTTTCAATGACGACATCTATTTACAAATGACCGGGACTGCTATGGGGACAAATATGCCACCACAATATGCCAATCTCTTCAGGGCTGACCTAGAAAACAGATTCCTAGCCACTCACCCTCATAAACCATTCAAATATTATCGTTATATTGACGATATTTTCGTAATATGGACAGAAGGAGAAGAAAGCCTTTTAAACTTCATGAATCATTAAATTCATTCCATCCATCCATCAAATTTAAAATGAATTTCTCAGTACACAGTGTGTTTTTTCTGGATTGTGCCATAACGGTCAGCAATGGCTCACTCTGTTCTTCTGTGTACAGAAAACCCACATACAGGTACAGCTACCTCCATAATTCCAGCTTCCATCCTAATCACACTAAACAGGGTGTCATCTACAGCCAAGCAATCCGATACCACCGCATTTGCTCTGACACTGAGGACAGAGACAAACAGCTGAGCACTCTGGATGATGCATTTCGGCCAAAGGGCTATAGAGAAAAGACTATAAAAAAAATTAAATCTGCCCTAAGAACACCACGGGAAAGACTGCTACAGTACAAAGAGAAGAAAAACCCAACCAGGACCCCTCTTGTAGTACAACCCTACTCTAGAGGTAATACGCAAAATAATCAAAGATCTACAGCCAGTACTCTCAGAAGACCCCATACTTAAAGAAATATTCCCTCAGCCCCCAATACTGGCTTTCAAGTAACCACTGAACCTGAGAAGAAGATTGGTACGCAGTAAGCTGACCCCAGAATAGGCACTTACACAGAATGGCACAGTACAATGCAACAAACCCCGCTGCAAACTTTGCCAACATATATGTGACAGGAATACAGCGAGTCACAATAACAAAGAGTACACCATTAAGGGGTCATACTCATGCACATCTGCTAACGTGGTGTACATGATACAGTGTTCAGCATGTGACAAAGGTTGTTATATTGGGGAAACTGGCCTTAAGCTGCAGCTCAGGGTGAACCTATACAGGAGCTCGATCAAGAACCGCAAAGAGGATGAATATTGCACTCCAGTAGGACATCACTTCTCCCAGAAGGATCACACCATCCAAAACCTCAAAATTAAAGTACTAAAAGGGAATTTTAAAAACTGAAAGGAAAACATTTGATATGAAAATGATTTTACATTTCAATGCCATAAAGGAGGGACTTAATGTGGATTCTGGTTTTCTGACACACTACCAGAGCTTTTTATGAATCTACAGAACATCACAATATCCATGTATGTGGTATATCTCTGATCTGTTCAGGGTTTATTTGTCATCCTACGTTAATTTTTTCTGTCTTTTGATTATCAGGAGGCATTTCTTACTTCCAGGTCCAACATTTATGACACCCCCCTTTCTAACAGCTTTCTCCTGTCTTAACTGACAAACTGTCATGTTGCTTAGTATTGCTTCTGAGCTGAAGGAGAGGTTCACTCTCCAAAGCTTGTCTTTTATATATTTTGTTAGTCCGATAAGAAAGGTATCATTGCACACTGCAATACTGCGTTTTTTTTTGTTTGTTTTTTTTACATATATGTGTGTATATATATATGTGTATATATAGTTGGATTTTACGTTGCTGGGTAAGTTAGATTCACCTCTGGGTAATTGGTAAAAAGAAAAGTATTTATTCTTAATTAAAAGTTCTGTCAAGAAAGCACAACAAGTGAAAAAAACTTTAGCAATATAAAGTATGAGATCAAAACACAAGATATTTCAAAACAGGGTGTTTCGAAGCAAAGAGCCTGAGTGTCATTTTAGATGTTCAGAGTTTTTGTGCACATATTGGCTCTATTTAAAGTGTATTATACATAATTGCTTTTTTCTCTTTTGTTCATTGAAGGACACAGCAGAAATCTTGATCTCTGTACCGATGGGTTATACTGCCACTTGCAGGAGTAGGAGGCTAGGCACAAAATAGGAGTTTGGCTCTAGGGGCGGCTCCTGCTGGTGGCCACACCCCCATCCAATGCTTCTCAAGTTTTTTTACCTAGTGTCAAGGACTATCTACCTGCTGGAGATCTTTCTTCCTATTTTTTTCCCTAGTGGTATTTAAAAAAAAAATTTCTCTTCACTTTTCGCTGATCTTTAACTCAGGCGAAGTGCAGCCAAAGGCAGCCGATGTAAGTCTGGTTTCAGCCGATATACGGCTGAAATGAGCCGTAGTGAATAGCCGAACGTTGTTCGGCTCAGTTATTCACTCGGCTGCCTTTGGCAGCTTTGTGACTAACCTTTTCCCTCATCATTTTTTAATGACTTTATTTACAAAGAATGGGGTTGTTTTTTTAAGGCCTTTGTGCTTCTAAATGCTTTTCTTTGCATTATCCTTTTGAGGAGGATTTTCTAAAAAAAAGCCTCATCCTATTGTAGACTCACCAGTGTCTAGACTGGTGTATAAGTCTTCTGTGATTCCGGTCCAGGAATCTCCTTCTTTCAAAGATCCGATGGACAGGAAAATGGAAAGGGAAAGCGGCTTCTACAGATATCATTTCTTGTTTGCTCAGACAAGTTATTGTTCAGGCTCATGCTCTTATAGGACAATCTCCACCTTTTCCGGTTGCAGATCATTCTACTCGTGTGGTTAGCGCGTCATTAGTTTTTCAACATCAAGCACCTGTTCCTCGGGTCTGTAAGGCGGCTGGCTACCTGGTCGTTGTTATACACTTTTTGACTCGTTTCTATAAAGTTGATGTTGTTGCATCTGTGGATGCTTCCTTTGGTCACAGAGTTTTACAGGAGGCTATTTAGTTTGTATGAGCCAGGTTTATTGTTATTTAGTCTATTGTTCCCGCCCCTCATTGGATACTGCTTTGAGACGTCCCATCGGTACAGAGATCAAGATTTCCGTTGTGTCCGTCAAAATATCTTTTTTTTCCAACTACATTTTTTTTAACCTTTTTCATCTTTTGTTTATAATAGCAGCACTGGAAACCTGCAGCCACTTGTCTACAGGCATGCACTTCAGCAACTGCTATACATAATTTCTCAGCACATGTTTCCAGATTGAGACAACCTGTGCATTGGTATAGCTGCACATAGTGTACATTAGGAGAGCATATGTCAGGGTAACAAGATTACCGCGATAGGGAGTTGTCTTCCTGTAACAGGAAGGGCCTGCACTAGGACCTTCTTGGCAGGATCACCAAATATTAGTTTTATGAAAGCTGCAGATTTAAAAATATTGAACATTACCATTAAAAATACTTTAACATGTTAAAGCGTTTATATGACATATTTTATATATAGATAGATAGATAGGTGCTTTAATACAAAATACAATAGTTCAGTGATGTTCTCTAACAGAGCACAGCTTTCCAACTTCTCCAAACTCCTGTAAACCAATATCTAATTGGATAATAATTGTTACTGATCATCCTTCTTCCTTGCAATATACTGGGGGGGGAATTTATCAAAACTGGAGCAGACAGAATCTGGAGCAGTTGTCCGTAGCAACCAATCATCTTCTCTCTTCAGTTTGCTCAGTTAAGATTTGAAAATGAAAGAGAGAAGCTGATCGGTTGCCATGCACAGCTGCTCCATATTTTGTCTGCTCCAGTTTTGATAAATTCCCCTCTGTATGTTAATCTTAAAACATCTGTTTCTACAGTGTGTCTAATATTACAGTGCAATATTCTAACTGAAGAATCTTTAAATTTTCTACTTCAGTTCAAACTCGTTACCCTGTGACTATTAGTCCAACTGATGCTAATAAGGCTTACACACCTCAATCAGCTGATGGCCCTGTGGCAGCCACTGACTTGGATGCATTGGAGGGTATGATGGAAGTGGTAGTTGTCCATCAGTACAAGTGCAAGATGTGCCCATACAAGAGTGCCTTAAAATCCACTCTCCTTCGTCATGTGAAAGAGCGTCATGTGCCAACAGGTAAGGAAACCCATTGTTGTGCAGGATTTTGCACTGGTATTTATGTAATTATATAAAGCCCGTGGACTCCTTATATGGAAACATGCCCATATATTGGAAAATAAACTCTTTAAATAAAACCGCCCTAAAGAGGGGCTCTAGTGGTTTTCGAATCATTTTATTTATTTATGATTGTATTGACTAAAACAAAAAACATATTAAAACATATTGTTACTGTTTGTGGATCCTCTGTGTTGCTTAGATGGGGTAGGAGCTCTTGCAGAGGTGCAAACATGATGTGCCAGGTCTTCACCAGGCAAAAAGTGTGTATCTTGCTGCACACTGTACCGGATCTCATAAAAATTATGATGATGAGTGGGTGTTAGTAGTGACCACGGAGGCCTCGTGAAGCATACAGAGTAGAAAGGGATGTCACCAGCACTCCAAATTAATGGATTCAGCAAATGTCCATTTTAATGACAATGATTGCCATTCATATTGCAAGTACTTTCAGGGGCCTCGCAGGGTCTCCGTCATCAGGCTCAGGCGTGGACCCTGCGAGGCCCCCGAAAGTACTTTCAATATGAATGGCAATCATTGTCATTAAAATGGACATTTGCTGAATCCATTCATTTGGTGTGCTGGTGACATCCCTTTCTACTCAGGTCTTCACCAGGGTCATGGTGGTTGCACTGCTAACGGACGAGGGTGAAAAACACAAGAATGCCCAGATGATGACAGCCAACAAACAGGCAGCACAGGTGCTAGATCAATATGAACCTCTTAGGTGGATAGTCATAGCACTGACTGACAACAGCAAAGATAACAGGCCAATTATCAGCATGGGTACAGGCATCCTAAATACAAATACAGTCCGAATAACAAGGAAATCAGACAGATGAAAGTCAGGCAAACCTGCACGGGTACAGGCTGCCAGTCCAGCAGTATATTGAGCACTCCTACATTAGGTAGGTGTGCACTACAGGGAAACCAGATCTGAGTAACAGCCAGCAGATATAAAGGCCGAGGGCTTATCATTACAAATATTTATTTTTTATGTTCTGTAAATATGATCTATATCGCTTGTTAGTATATTGCCTTCTTGTTTAGAGCTTCCACATGTAGCTTTGGTTCACTTGTCATGTTTAGTATGATATCCTTGTTTATATTCAATGCTGACAAAAAACAGGTTGTTTGCAGAACTCCAATGAGTCATCAGCAGTGACTTATTCCTTATGAGACTGCTCAGTACCAGGTCTTATTCAGACAAAAGGAGCTGCAAAGCAAGTTGCTGCTGGTGTGTCTTTACACTCTGGGAATCCTTGATCATTTATTACATTTTGTTTTTGTAAAGCAAAGCATTAATACATGTTATAGAATAACAACAGTTTCAAAAGGTACCTTTTAAAGGTGCTAAAGTAAAAGTAATCCTAGTATTCAGATAAAAACTTATCTCAATAGTAATTCAAAATATGTTTGCATTAAAAATATAATAAACCTCTCCTGTACAACAATTGCCTTGATGGTTTCTGGGACATTTTCACACTCGTCTAATTAAAAAAACTTGGCGATTGTTTTACCTTTTACTGTATTTGTCTGTTAAGCCTGTGAAGACAAACGAGTGTCTCGTAAAGCAGTAAGACTCCGAGAAGAGGAGGAGGATGAAGATGAAGATGATATTGTGGATGCTGGAGCCATAGACGACCCTAACAGTGAGGAATCTTCTTCTTTTAAATACTGAAGCTTGCATTAGTTGTATAGAATTTTTAATTGTTGGTGTGCTGTTGTGCGTTCTAGATGACAGCGATTACAGCCCAGGAAAAGATGTCACCCATAGTCGCCATTTTGAGGGTGGTGATGGGGCTTTGGTTAAAGAGAGGCCGTGTAGACGACGTGGACGACCACGTAAGATTCCACGCATACAAGGTACTGTATCTCTTTTAGTGGCAACACTAACACCTCTACTAGCAGCCTAAAGATGCTGTAATGTCTCTGTTATACGTATGCATCCAGCATATATGGTATTTGATTAACGTTAGTGAAATGACAACATTTTTACGATGTAGGATTTGGTATTTGTAATATGCTGTAGGAATGCAAATGTAGGAAAGTATGTTGAAGTGAACCTTTCCTCCACTCTACTACTAAAAGTTTTGCTAAGAACAAGCCCCACGTGAAGCATTCTGCCTGATCTGAGATTACTTTCACATTGCTATGGAGTAACTTTTAAATTTTACACAGAGCGCAGTGGCACAGGTCTCCAGCAGTACTCCAACCAACAACACTCATGCTCCCTGAACAGCTTTTTTGATTGGAGCGCTGTGCAGGGGTCATGTTGGACTGATGTTGACCCAGAGCACTGCACTGTGTGCATTTTCCTCATTCATTGCACCTACACATATTTTATACTGTTTTTTTAAAGGACAAAATGGGCTTTAATTTGATGTGACATATGCATATATAAATTCTCTTTTTTCTTTTTAATAAACAAATGCCAAAAAATTGAACAAAAAGCAAATTTTTCAGTTTTGGCAACAGTAATGTGTACATAATTCGTGTAGCTAACAGAAAGTAATTCATAATAAATTTGTATATTTGTCCTGATTTATAGGGCATATCATATGTCTAGGAATTCAGTTTATTTTGGGAGTTATAGGTCACAAAATACAATTTTAGTGTGGAACAATTTTAGAATGTGGTATGTTTGTCTCCTACCTTTTAATAGCCTCCTCGGTGCTATATTTTCTCGTTTTATTGTATTTTTTTAAAAATGTTTTTACTTTTTTTAACGCTTTTCTCTTTTTTTAGAATGTTTAAAAAAAGGTTAAAAACTTAAAAAATAACTGTTTTAAAACTTTTTTTTATAGCAGGGGGCACTAAAGGGTACATTTTTTATTTACAGGGGCTTTGGATAATAAGTATTCTAAAAAGATACTGTATTCTCCTTAAAGATACTTAGTATCTCTTTTGTAGCACACTGTTCTGGCTGGCAGCTCCACAACACAATGAGCTGCAAGCTAGCTCAGTGGCTGTGATCACTGAGATCAGCTATCGCAGTGGTCACAGTGCTGGGATCCTCTAATTTGCAGTTGAGGGTCTGCCTCCGACATCGAGGAGGAACCCAGCAACAGCATAAACTTAGAGTGCTTGTCTCTCCATGTACCAGTTCTCATTTTACCACTGACGTCATAGTGATTGGGTGACTAAAACTGTCTTTAAACAATAGTGTGGGCTGAATTGTTTTTTCTAGTAATAACTAGGCCAGTGGTGTCACTAGGGGGGTATCGCCCGCACCCGAGTGACACCATTGGAGCGGTACAACACAAACAATTTCCCAGCACACTCACCAGCCAGCATGCAAAAAAACTTGTGTTTTTAGTAGCAGCTAGTTTTCATTCTCTAGCCTGTGTTGGAACAATAGAACATGGAACCTAAGTTCTATGGGCACGTCCAATACCCCCTCCTTAAAGCTTTGTACAGTAGCTCCACTGACCTATTAAAATAGTCTATTGTGTTTTGTTCCATAGGACCCGAACAAGACAGCGGTCCACCAATACTTGTAGTTGAGAGCGAACCTGAAATTCTTGTTGTTCTGTCTGATACTGAAAACAAAGAAGTCTCAATCATCCCTCCTAAGGAGGAACCGAAAATACCCGCTAGGCGACGTGGGCGCCCACCCAAACACCTCATGGGTAAAAATTACCGTCGCTACAAAGGCCAGAGGTGAGTGTATGACGCTGTTGTAAATTAATTTGTGGCTCCATCTGCCTTTCGGGAATCGCATTAGAACTGAAATATTGGTTTTCTGCTCAACTACTTGCATTTTCAAACTGAACTCCAGTCAAAAAAAAACTTAGTGCACCATTAAAATACATATATCGAAGCTGTTTTACCTGCCAGATGTTTTTTTTTTTTCTTCATCCAATCCTAAGATTTAAACATTTGTGGTGCACAGCATTCAACCTGTCTATCGGGGCAGAAGGACCCGATCGATCTTTGCTGTAGTAACACTTACAGCATTTGTCCCTCCCAGACTGTGACTAGACCGAAGAATTAGACTGATAAGCTCATCTCTCTGTTGCTTTCTTCTGCTATCAGCATGCTCCTAGCGCTGTATTATTCAGCTACTTTAATTTGTGTTTTTATCTGCCTGGAGTTCCGTTTTATGTCGTGATTTTTGTATATGCATGCATGTCCAAAAATATATGTTCACCTCTGGGGACTACTAAACCTCTATCTACCTTTTTATAATTACTCAATTCATAACTCTGTGAGTTATCTGGACAAGTGACAGGGTGGCCCAGCTATATACATCAGACAGCTATCAATGACAGCTTTGGAAGTATAATTAAATTATGATCCAACATTGTATACAGTCATACTTTTGTTTTTCTCTCAAATTTCTCTGTTCTTGTGTTATCTCCAAACTTTAAAGATTATGAGAGACCCAGCAGACACTGGCTTGCCGTCACTATATATACCCTGACAGTTGCAGCTATTTTATGACCAGATGGGGACACACTGCCTATCCTGCTTGTACTGCTTCACAGAGCCAACAGGGAGGTGTATGGTGAGCCAGAGTGTGAGCATGGAGAAAGGCTGCCCCTTCTGCTGCCATCATCTGGTCCTGTCTATAGGGACAAGCAGACCATAGTAAGAATAGTTGACTGTTTCAGGGCTGTAACGTGGAAACAGCGCTAGTGCCCTTATAAAAATCAATGCCTGTGGTGCTGGTTATACTAGTTTGTGCTCATGCTAATGGTAACCAAGACAAAATGAACAGCTATAGATACAGACACTGTGTGCTCTAGTTGAATAATTGTGCAAGAAAGACTTCACAGATGTTGGTGACCGAGGCAAAACGAAACAATACTAATATTTTCTTATACTTGTTTAATCTCAATCACACCAGATAACAGTACCCTTCACTGGAACCACTTGGACTCAGTCACTTGGAGGGGTTCCATATATACTGGTGGGAACAGGCTCCACTGACATTTAAACTGCATAGAATTGCATCTAGCTTGAAATATCCCTAGGGATCACACACTGTTCAGCTGCGAGAATACTTATTGCACCACATGTATAGGTAGTATTCTCTTCTTTTTTTTTCGGAAGAGGTGTATGTCCTTAGAGCAGGGGTAGCCAAACTTTAGCCCTCCAGCCTCGGTGAAACTACCAGTGCCATAAGACATTGCAAGACTGACAGTCACAGACATGATTTCGAAAGGAAGATGCATGATTTTTAGTATCGCCACAGCTAGATGGCCAAAGTTTGGCTGCCCCTGCCTTGGAGGTTTCCCACAACAGGATTATAGGAAGATTATAGTAAGAGACATTAAGCAAACTAAGAGAGTTTTATCAGCTATACAGTTTAAAAATGTATTAGAAAAAAGCAACAAAACTCTACTTGGCCATTGTTACTATACCTCAGTGCATACTTTAGCCTTAATAATACATTTAAATATAAGTTGGCTAAGCAGGGTCTGAATGCAACAAGTTTTTACACTGTTCCCTAATTTGTCTAGCTGGGCATAGTTTGCCTCCATGAGCAAGAGCAGGTTAACATGTAGAGTTCTGGGGTCGGTTACCATTGTTTTTATGATTTTGTATGGAAACAGCCCTACCATCTTATAGATTGTAATCTTTTAGATTGTAAGCCCTCACGGGCAGGACCCTCCTTACCGTCTTGAATTGTATTGTAATTGTAATGTCTTCCTTATTTTGTAAAGCGCTGTATAAATCCTGTATAATAATAATAATCTTATATGAGTGGTAAATAGATGCATAAAATATTTTCTTTATATTGTGACCTGCAGGCGTTATAAATCTCCAAGTAAGCCACTGCTCAGACCTTTCATGTGCCGTATCTGTGGCTCCCATTTCCTCACACGGGAAGATTATAGCTTTCATGTGAATTCACACGATGGCAATGACCCCCAAACATTCCAATGCCAGCAGTGTAATTACCAATGCCGAAGATGGTCTTCATTAAAGGTGAGTGTACATTTAATGAGGCTGCTGCATGGCGGTCACATTTTTGCACAATGTGAAGGGCATACACTACTTCCAAAAGATTAAAAGGGGGGGGTGTTTTATATCTGTACATGTGATTTAAAGACCTGTTTCGGGCTATGTAAATTCGGGTTACATGATGACTTAGTAATTGTTTGATTCTGAAATATGTTTTTCTTTCCTCAAGGAGCACATGTTTAACCACCAGGGAAAAAAGCCATACAAATGTGACCAGTGTGACTACACAAGTGTCTACAAAAAGGACGTGACGAGACACTCTGTTGTGCATAAGCGGGATCGGTAAGTCTTATGAAAATTAAGTATTTCTCACTTAAAATTAGAATAAACTTAACTTGGCCTAAGACAATTCTAAAGTAACAATATTAGTGGAGCATCTTGTGGTGTCGTGTGTTGGTCTCTAAATTGAGCCCTGTATTCCTTGTGGAGACCCCTTGGATGCTAGACCCAGGCTATTTATGGGCTCCCAGTTATGCCGAAGTAGAGGCTCCATCCGTTAATGACACAGATGATATCAGTGACGTGCGGTACCTTCCATACTGTGTGAGGCATTCCCCCAGCCCACCGAAGCTATGTGTGCAGGAAGGAGGGAGGAGCCTCCCTGTCCCTCACTTGCTTGTCACTGGTGAGGCATCCAGATCGATGTCCTCTGTTTTTCTTTTTTAATTGGACAGCTTGGACCAATGTCGCTTTGCCATTGGTCCAAACCATCCACAGAGCTCACGCCTCTAACATAGAGTAGAGGCTGTTGCAGCTCTTGCCTCACTCTGTTAGGTTACACAAGCAGTGAGGAAGCCCGCTGCTGTGTAACCTAACTTAGCTGTCAAAAGCCGGCTGCATCGCCGCCTGTAATTAACAGGCAGCGCTCCGTCCAGGATTACACAGCGGGAGGCTTTCCCTGCTGTGTAATCTGTTACAAGCCGATCTGAATGGACAAAAAGCTGTCAGCTTTAGACTTGAAGCTGACACCTTTTTCCTCCATAATACTAGGGGAGGCTCTGCCTCCCCTGACCGCACGTCTCTGGATGAAATACATGTAATGGAGCAGTTTTACCTGCTAAAGGATTTGTTTTTCTGCCCACCCATTTCTGAGATTTATAGTAGGGATGTCCCGATGCAATTTTTTCAAGACCAAGTACAAGTACTTTCTATCAGGTACTCGCCGATACCAATTACATATACTTTTTCTTAAAGGGACATGTGACATTTTTTCAAAAACAACAGCAGACTAATAATTTTAGGGCAGTTTCTTTATAATTATGAAGAACTGTAACTCAATCCATGATTATTCAGCAATGTAGAATGGCAACCAGCAATAGTGAGCTACAGATCCCATTAATTCATGATTATACAGCAATAGAGGACTAGAAATCTTAGCAATCCATGATTCTTCAGCAATGGTGAATGGCAACCAGCATTCATGGATTGCTGAAATTTGTAGTCTTCTATAGCCTGTCACCATTCTCTATTGCTGCATAATCATTGATTATACAACAATGAAGAATGGCAAACAGCTTTAGAGTACTACAGATCCCATCAATTCACGACTATACAGCAATTATACAGGGGTTTGTGCAGATCTTACCAGGGCTGGGTCTCACCAGGGATCCATTTGAGTCTCACCAGGGACGCATGCAGATCTCCCCAGGGGTGCATTTGGGTCTCACCAGGGATGCATGCAGGTCTCACCAGAATTGTGTTTGGGTCTCACCAGAATTGCGTTTGGGTCTCACCAGAATTGCGTTTGGGTCTCACCAGAATTGCGTTTGGGTCTCACCAGAATTGCGTTTGGGTCTCACCAGGGCTGCCGCAGATATCACTAGGGCTGCATTTGGGTCTCACCAGGGATGCGTTTGGGTCTCACCAGGGATGTATGCAGGTCTCACCAGGGATGTGTTTGGGTCTCACCAGGGCTGCATGCAGATCTCACCAGGGATGCGTTTGGGTCTCAGCAGGGATGCATGCAGATCTCACCAGGGCTGCGTTTGGGTGTCACCAAATCTGCGTTTGGATCGCTCCAGGTCTGCGTTTGGGTCTCTCCAGGTCTGCATTTGGGTCTCTCCAGGTCTGCATTTGGGTCTCACCAAGGATGCATACAAGTCTCACCAGGTCTGTGTGTGGGTCTCTCCAGGGCTCTGTGGGCGGGCGCCAGGCTCTCCAGGGCTCTGCTGGTGAGTGTGGGGCTATGAGACTGCTGGGCTCTCTAGGACTGAACTGGTGGGATCCAGGCTCGTGCCAGGCTCCAGGGCTCTGCTGGTGAGTGTGGGTCTGTGCTGTGCTGTGCTGTGCCAGCGCCAGAAAAGAGGAGGAAGCAATGTGCACCAGTTTTCTTTAAAAAATGCATTTGATTATCTATTAATGCATATAGAGCTGCATTGATTTGTGTCTTTTATATCTGTCTAGAGTTCAGTGCAACTGGAGTCAAAATTTCTTTTTAGTTTTGGATAAAGTGGAGAAGGATTAGAACCGTCAGGTTTTTATTGCTGTTAGTTTCCTTTAGGGAGATTCACCCTCTCATTTTCTCATGGTGACTGCTATCACTGAAAGGAAAAGAAAATTCCCAGTTTTGGGTTGTCTTTAGAACGAGAATAAATGGGGAAACCTTCGATTGTGGACACTAGTTTTGGTGACCCTGCTAACCACCAGGGATTGTTGTGGCTATTGGACAGGAAGTGAAGAAAAATCTCCTCAATGGGACACAGATGACAAACTAATACCTAACACTGATTACAAACCTCCCTTATTCCCTCTCTCCAAAACTAGAAAAAAGTCAGTTCTGCTCACTGCTACTAGACGATGTATGATTAATCTTGAGTAAAACTGTGACCCGGGGAATTCATGTTGGGAAATTCTAAATAGTTTTTATGATATATTGAGAGCATTGTTCTCATCTCACTCTTCTGTTTATTTTTCAGGAAGAAGAATCATTTGCTGGTAAGATGATCCATCTTTATATTTCAATGCCTTCCCTTTTTTTTCTTTTTAACAGAAAGTACCTGCCCCCCTCACACTTCTATTACATATGCTCTCACTGCCGCATTATAAAACATAGGGATGCACTGATGCTAATATTGGTATCGGTGCAGATACCGAGTATTTGAGCGAGTACTCGTACTTGCCCTCGCCCAAATGCTTCCGATGCCTATCCTGATACCAAAACTTCCAGTTTTAGGAAGCTGGGCGGCAATTCTTTACACGCCATTAGTCTCCCTGATTGAACGTGAAGCCGACTCCATGCTCGCTCGTCCCCAGGCAGCATAGGGCTGGCTTCCCGGGAGCGGGTAATGACCCGGCTTACTAATTGGCCGGGAAGCTGGCTCCATGCTCCCTCGTCAGGAAGTGACGAGGGAGCATGGAGCCAGCTTCGCGGCCAATCAGTAAGACAGGTGGCAGGTCATTACCCAACCCCTGGCTTCCTGACTAACCAGAAAGCCGGCTTCTAGCTTCCTTGTTACCTGGCTGATCTCGTTACATGGCTTCCTCAATGGGACTTCCGGTATTCTGTATCGGAGAGTACCGAAAAAAATAAATATTTAAAATAACAAGCCCCCTACACATCAGAGCCCTCTTTACTTCTGAAGCCTTCTCCCATCACATTAGGGCCCATCTTTCACTCCAGAGTCCGTCCGTCCCCCTTCATATCAGAAGTCTGCCTGCACCATAGTAAGGCAAGGTGCTGTTCAAAAATTTCAAGGCACCCTGGTTGAGAAAAACTGATCTAGCATTCTATTTGTGTTGGAGAATCTGGTTCAACTAACCTGACTGCCTAATGGGAGAGTGCAGTGGTGCTGATGTTGATGAAACATCTAATGACACTTCATTTATGTGCCTGTGTATGTCACTTCCTGTCACAATGAACACCAGGGTGTTGCTTTGAGCAAAACTTCCTTTACCCCTCTGTGGGTGTGAGGTGTATACACTTTATAGTCTTTTAAAGAATCTGCTATTCAGCTGTCAGTAGCCCCTAGTAGCTTTTTTGAAGGAATGTTTGCAGAATACATTAGAACTGGAACAGGAGGTAACAAGAATTTCCTCAATTGGGACTCACAGCTTTAAAAAAAAAAAAAAACCTGGAAGAAGACCTAACCCTTCTCACTCTATGTAAAGTAGATACAGATGCATTCCATCATTTCTTAATCGGTGATCACCGGAAAGCTAGAAGTTATCCTCAGTGTTTCCCAATGCAGTGTCTTTGCAATTAGATATATTATTATTGGGGTTTACATCTGTGTTCTTCTTTCAATGCAGATTACAAAAAAATGCACTTATCCGTGTCCTATCTGTAATCGGGTATATAATTTGCAGAAGAGGCTGACACAGCATTTGAAATCACACAGCAATGACAAGCCACACATGTGTGACAAGGTAATTATTGAACTATTTTAGTTTATTATTTTGTGTTATGAAAGAGAATGTACCTGGGTTTTGTATATATACCCTTTATTATGGTAGGACTAAAACATAATAATTTATTACATTTTGTAAGAAATGTTTTGTACTTTTGTTTCCAGCCAGCTGGTGGTGCTTTGGGCACCTTTTTATTTTTACACTGCTTTGCTATAAAAAAAAAAGGATGTTGTTTAACATACAGGGGTGCAGGTACCCTTAAAAACAAGATCACACAGGGACTCATACACATGCAGAACCACATGCGTACATGCAATAGGTTGAACTTGATGGACCTGGGTCTTTATTCAACCTCAAATACTATGTAACTATTTTTACAGAGTTCAGTGGCACAAGGCCAAATATACATGCACCACTGAATGATTCAGAGGAGTAACGGATTCCCCCTCACTCACTCACTCCCCCTCCCTGCCTGCTCTCTTCAGACAGGGCCATGCAGACTTTCAGTTAAGAGTAAGGCCTTGTTCACACCAAGCGCAGAGCAGGTGCAGAGCAGTTGCAGACCGGATCAAAACTGCGTCCAATGTGATCCAATGGTATTTTGGGCTCTAGTTCACATCGCAGCAGTTCCAGAGCAGGTGAAAAAACTGCAGCAAGCCCTATTTTACCTGCTCTGGAACGCATGCAAACGCATCAATTTTTTTTTTTAACCAAAAACGACCCGGAACGCATCAAAAACGCGGCACAACCCACTGCACTGCGTGTGCAGAAACCTGAGCGGATCTGCTCTGCATTTGGTGTGAACAAGGCCTAAGAGAATGTAAACAGCTTCTGTTGTCTAAAAATACTCCTTATGCCTTTTGAATCTAGTCTTGTTGGTGCACCCGATACAAATATTTGTAAAACAGAATTTTATGTAAACAGTGTAGAAAGGTTTAGTTCAAATAGTTTATAAACTTTACTAAAGAAATCTAATTAAAATTGATTGAAAGCTATTATAGTTTCCAGGATATATTTAAACACATAATTCAGGATTGCGTTGTCTTTTTACAGTGTGGTAAAGCCTTTAAGAAGCGATACACCTTTAAGATGCACCTTTTGACTCACCTGGAATGTGTGGAAGAGAACAGGTAACTTTTTGCCATTGAGACATATATGTAAATGTACAGCATATATACGTCCCATTTTGTAACCAGTAATTGGGGTTTTCAAAACTCATTATGGGATGTCCGTAAAAAAGGTGGGTGGAGTTTGGACTATGGCAATCATTAAAGTGTATCCAAACACAAAAGCAAAAACATTTAATATATTGCAGCTTACCAGTCCTTAGATGTGGTGGTTGCATTTGTTTTTTCTTTTCTCAGGCTTTTTTTTTTTCCTTTTATTGTCACCTTGTGATCCTGCCATTGACACACTTCCTGGCCCAGGGTGACAACGCTTACTCACTGTACTGTACTGATTGACCTTGCCTTGTGTTAGCTTCTAATGCATGCTTAAGAGGTGATAAGACCTTCTATTGTTAATGTCCAGTATTATGTATGCCCGTCCTTTTAGTTAAGTTGAAACAGTTCAGTGAGGCTGCTCCCATACAACTGAGAACCCCCAAATGAAAGGGAAGCGCAGAGGGAAATCCAGCAGATAAACAGTCAGGGCACCATACCAATGGAGATAGAGCCCAGAGAAGTTTTTTCTATTACTAAAATATCAACAAGATAAGAAATCCATCACGTTCTGGGGGTTCACAAACTTCCTTCACCCAGGCTACAATATAAATAAATAAAAAATGCATAAATATATAATATATTCAAATTCATAAAAACAGTATATATTTAATAAAAGATAAAAGTCTATTTCTTTAAAGAGTGAAAAAAGAACATACATAGTCAGACACTTTATTGTTCATGAACGCCAAAAGGGGGAAATCTATACGTCTGTCTGATAGCTGTGACAACTGGTAAAATATGAAAAAAAAGGAAAAAACACATTGGGGGGAATTTATCAAAACTGGAGCAGACAAAATCTGAAGCTGCTGTGCAAGGCAACCAATCAGCTTCTCTCTTCAGTTTCGTCAGTTAAGGTTTGAAAATGAAACAGATAAGCTGATTGGTTGCCATGCACAGCTGCTCCAGAACCCTTACTGCTATCTATGGGATTACCTTCAAGGCGCGGTATGCTCCCTGTCACAAGTCTGTGGCTCCCAGCAAGGGACTGAATCTAATAAAGAGATATCCACACTTTCATTCACACAAAATATACAATGTACACACACAACCACAAGCCTTTCTGTTGAATGGCTGAATTAATTATTAAAGTCTTTATTGAATGGCAGTGTAGGAATCTACCAGGACACTGAATATTAGATTCAGCCTCAAGCAAGAGAATAAAGACCAGGGAGCCTATGCTTCCTAAAAGGTATCGGGCAAAAGACACTTTATAGAGAACCTTTCACCACAGCCTTCCCTATGAGCTAAATCAGAACTCGAATCAAGAAAATTCCTAGATAACAGATACCTATAGACCTTTCCTACCAGCAGCCCAAGGTAGAGCTGATTTTTCTTGAGGATTGAACCAATTGGAAGGCTAATATCCTCTTACCAAGGTCAGATTCCTGTAGCAGAGAGGGCTAGTGTAAGTATATCTACTATAGATTGCTTACATGTGTTTAGTTTATAGGGTAGAATGTGGTAACAGGGTCTCTTTAAGGCTACACACACATGGCTGTAGGAAATGCATTGATCACATACACGTTTTTTTCTGGGCAGAATGTTCTGCCGTAAAGATTAGTAAAATGCTTCCATTTAGGTGCGTTGTAAGCACACATCCATTCAAATGCATCAAATTCTTGTGTCATTCCTCCCTTGTGGTTACAATCTAAATTTCTTGTTTGGACTATATTCACACCCACTCAGACACAGTGAGGGAATTTATCAAAACTGGAGCAGACAAAATCTGGAGCAGCTGTGCATGGCAACCAATCAGCTTCTCTCTTCAGTTTGTTCAGTTAAGATTTTAAAATGAAAGAGAGAAGCTGATTGGTTGCTGTGCACAGCTGCTCCAGATTTTGTCTCCTCCGGTTTTGATAAATTCCCCTCAGAGTGTACTCGGACACAAATTTTTCAATTTTCGTGTTAGGGATTTGAACGCACTTATGTGCATGTCCCCATTGAAAACAATATGTGTCCTGATCCCTAAACAAAAAAAACGTGTGCATGGGGCCCCACAAAAACTTTAATTTAAATATACTGTATTCCTCAATAGCCCCAAAGAAGATAAATCCATTTTGTGTGCACCAGATGCCTTTGCAAACTCAGATGTTACCTTGTATAAGTAGAACTGACGTCATCGCTGTTCTGTGCATAGACTCTGCAGAGAGGAGAGCTGTGGGAGGGACCCAGCAGCTCCACCCACTACATGCTGCCTCCAGAAAACTACGGGAGGGAGCGGATACAAGACCAGTCACCCTGCACAAGGACATTTAGCAGCAGTGACTGGTCTTTACTAACGTATTCGCTCCCACACAAAGGAAAAGTTGCATGCTGGATTACTGCACAGATCTGGAGGAAATACATAAAGTACGCCAAGATTTAAGTAAGAATACACATGACTCTTGCATTAAGACAAACTTGACTTATCCCGGATAAGCAAATATTGTCCTATATTCAGTTTCTAATAGAAGAGCCCATATTATTCTCTCAGTGTGCGCTCTTTCGCTCCTGCTGAGTGCCTGTGTTGCTCCTTTGGGAATAGTCGATTGCTTGTCGGCATTCCTCCTGCAAAATGCATTAGAGACCTTCATTTTAGACTATCATGCCAAACTCAGACATTCACCCTTTGATACATCATTTACCAGCCATGCACAAACACACTTTCAGTTTTTATTTATGTATTTAATAGCACACTATAGGCAACAGCTGGAGGACCACCACTAAATATGTAAGCTTGCTTATAGTCTCATAAGAAGATTAATATAGCCATACTGGATCAAGAGTGTTTAATGCATGCATTTCCAGAACAAGATTTATGTCCCCCTAATCCAACACAATTCGGTGTTGATTATACTGTACATGACCACCATTTAGCTATTGCTAAACATATCCCAGTATTGAGTCTCTCCATGTGTGGAGTGGAATTCCTTTTGCATGGCGCCTTGAAAGCAGTGTCTGTTCTCCACCTACTGTATATTTGCAATGTATTTAAATGAAACCTCAACTGTAGTAGCTGTTAGGGATGCATCAGTACTGATACTAGAAAGCTCCAACACTATTCCCGATACTGGAAGTTCCTGGGTGTCCCCTAATACCCCTATTGTCACCACCTAATACTAATATGCTCTTACATGCCCACCCCCTATGTGATCGCAATAAAATAAAAAAATAAAGTAGAATAAAATAAATGTAAAAATACCGAAAAATATAAAGTACCCCACGAATGTGCGGATAATAACGTAAACACACATCAGGTGTTCCTAAGTATAAAAACGTTAATTGCGCTACACATGTTAGATATCACCGCATGCGCCAGAGTTACAGCAATAATTCTAAAATATTCACAGTCAGTTTTAAACTGATGACTTGTATGGGCTTTTAAAGCGCCGTCTATGGATAATTTGGGGTACCGTATTGCGCATGCAATCTTTAATTTCGACATGTTGGGTTTCTGTTTACTCAGCATAACCTCATCTTTTATATTTTATGTAAAATATGGGTATCATATTGTGTTTTTGGACACTAAAATTAACTTGAGTTTAATTTGTTTGGTAAAGAGTTGCATTAATATCATGCAACGTAAAAAGCTACAACTGCCTCCATGTAACACAGGGTCTCTGCTTTCAGGAAATATATAATTCTCTGGGTTTTAAGTAGATGTCTGGCCTAAAATGTGGATTATAACGTGTGCAAAAAACGCATTGACAGCAAAAGGGTTAAAGGAATGGCCGGGTGACGGGGTCTCTTTAAGGTTTCTATACACTTCAAATGAGCTGTGACTGCTCCTTTGCGGGAATACATGATAGTTTGAGATTTCTTACCACCCACCTGTTACTCTGATTACATTGCACCCCCGTACTGATTAATCATTTTTCACCAACTCATTTTGCTCAGTGTTTCTCTCTCCAGCAGGTGAGCCAGTTATTTTTTGTTCTTTATTACCGTAATGTATTTTAGATGATTTACCTGTCAGCGTTGCCTTATATTTTACAACCCTAATTTTTTCCCTCCACTGGAGGCCTCATTATCGTTCTTTGTTTTTATTGTTGTGTATGTGCTTTCAGCAGGTGTTACTGCAAGGTCATTTTGATTGACTTTGTGTTTTATTATAGCTTCGTTAATGCAATATTAGATATTTGCAGTTTTTCTTTTTCCTTCAAATTGATCATTAGGTGCTTCCTAATACAATACATCAACAGATAAATATTCTGCAGGATTAAATAGATTGATTTTCTGTCATCGTGTCTGCATGTGTTCCAATTTATGTTGAAATCTTCCCCATTCTCGATGACCTTGGATTTAGTTGTCCTTAACACTGAAATAACCAACAGTATTGGTTGTATGTTCCTAATAAGCTGGTCCATCAAGTGCAGACCAGCCATCCGTATACCAATATTTACATTTGTGTGGACATAGATCTGTTGTGTTTTCACACTCAACAACAATCTTAAAACAATGGAAATCATCAAGGGCAAAAAAAATTAAAAATGGTATCACAGACAGACCTCTAATGCATTAAAAGAGAACTATGGGGGGTAAAATTTTTATCGGGCTTTTAAAGGACTTTTACGTTTAGTGAAGTTTTGCTTTAATAAATCCTCCCACACCACATAGTGCACAGCGCTTCTCCCAAAAATGTCCCTCCTGGCCCCTCTTTTTAGTGCGCATGCGTGCCATGGCCCCATTCATTCCTGTGGATAAGCTGTTTCCCAGCCGTCCTGCTGGAGGCGGCAGGAATGTTTTCAGGAGAAGGCTGTTAGTCGCAGGGCAGGACCACACATTTAAGATTGTTCGAACAAGTAACTAACATGGCACTCTGAGCTCAGACGGTGGGGGAATTCACTAAAAGTGAACTTTTTTTTAAAGTATATGTAAACCCAATCACTAAAATTAGGGAGGCCATGAAACAAGGATTTGATTGGGGGCAGCATAGTAGCATAGTGGTTATCACTTCTGCTTGCATCACCGGTGTAAATCCTGGTCCGGACACTATCTGCATAGGGTTTGCATGTTCTCCCTGTGCTTGCATGGGTTTCCTCCAGGTACTCCAGTTTCCTCCCACACTCCAAAGACATGCTGGAAGGTTAATTGACACCTGTCTAAATTGGCCCTCTATGTATGCATGTGAGATAGAGACCTTAGATTGTAAGCTCCTTGAGGGCAGGGATTGATGTGAATTTGCACTACGTAAAGGGCTATATAAAAACCAATAATAAGACAAAAACTTGGCTATCCACTGTATCCCTTACTCATCAATTTCCTCTCAAATGTTATCAATTCAGTATAGTAACCAGGTGTTGTAGATTAGGTTAGCAAGTAAAGTCACTTGAAGGATATGTAAACCCAATCACTAAAATCTTTTTGACAAGTTAATTACATTTTAAAAGTCATTTTCAATATTTTAAAATTTGCCGCTTTTATTAAAATATCCGGTAATTTGAAGGTCCTTGCTCAGGTACTTCCTGTTATAGTGTGACAACTCTCTCTCCCTGTCTACCAATTGTGCTCTTTCGTTGTCACCCCGCCGTACAGGCTTCCAATGCTATCTTCCGAGATAACATAGTTACATAGTATTTGAGGTTGAATAAAGACATTAGTCCATCAAGTCCAACCTATTAGGATCTCATTCTAGGAGTACCCGTACCCCTGTATAATTAACAAGTGGCAATTTGAGGTTAGTTTTTACCATCAGAAAGACTGTCCTGAGAAATGCTATGCAGCCATTGCTGGAGCACATAGGCATAAGGTGACTGCAAAGAGGCTGCACAAAATCAGCAACAACAAAGAAGATGAAAAATCTGCCCAATAAGGACACAGACGGCAATAAAAACTTGAAAGTGGTTCTAACAGTATAGCCAAAACAGATAAAAATGTCTGAGGTTTCACTTGGATACATAGATACTGCCGCTGGCAAACTCTGAAGTGCTATATATTTTTATTCCTTTATTCAAAGCAAAATGACTTTGTGACGGATGACCTTTTGTGTAGATGGGGACTGCCTGTGAGCTTCCAAATCATTTAGAAGGTTGATCATTGCTATCACAGTATAACCTGGTCTTGCTTAATCTTTTAAGGTACAAGTGTGAGTTCTGTGAATACGTGAGCGAAGATCGAAAACAGCTACTGAATCACCAGCTCACCCACATGAATGACACGCCGTTTAACTGCAATCAGTGCCAATATCGTACATTAAGCCAGGACGCCCTACTTTCTCACCAGGCCATCAAGCATGCAGGTGCAGTACTCCACGCTTCATTTATAGAAAGAATGCCCATATAGATGACAGAGTGCTCATCAAACTTGCAGCAATTTTTCATATCATTGCTTTTTTTGTTCAAATATCTGTTGTGTGTATATAGTAACGTTCTTCTCTGATTATGATGAAAGCTGTCCTCTGGGTATATATAAAAGATACGCATTAATTCGGCTCTGTATACGTCAATACAACACATACAGGGTTATTCACAAAAGGGTGAAGAGTTTGGAGAAGACAGGAGAAGTGAACAATCTAGGACAACATAACTTAACTGGAAAGTGGGCTGAATTGGAGAATTTTTCCAAATCAGCTATTTTTGTCCTGGATTGTTCACTTTTCCTGCCTTCGCCAACCTCTTCACCCTTTTATGCATAACCCTGTAAATGTATGTTTTTTATATCAAGTAGTTTAAGTACCTGGCCTAGACCTGGTGTCAGCCTCTTGCAGTCCCTGTACAGCGGAGCTCAGAATGGAAAAGGGAGATGCAGCACAAGGAGACAATCAGTTGTGCTACAGTGCTCGTGTGCTATCAAGGAGCATGCTGATAGGAGGTGGGAGTAGGGTAGCAGAAAGATGAACTCAGCTGTCTAAGGGTGCCCACACACCTTACAATAATTGTACGATAATCGCGGGAAATCCCGCGATCGTACGATTATCGTAAGGTGTGTGGAAGCCGTGCGACCTCTACTACTGTAAGGTCGCACGACTTTAAACTTACGGACATGTTTGAAAACCCGCCGAGCATCGTACAATGTTCGGCGGGTTTTTGGCATTTCCGTACGATAACAGCCGTGCCCGTTCGGCATTGCGATCATCGGAAGCCCGCCCCTCAGGGGGCGTGGCTTGCGATCATCGCAAGTACGATCTGCCTATGCAAGATAGGCAGATCGTACGTTTCTTTAAGTACCTTACAACCATCGCAAGACAAAAGTCTTGCGATGGTTGTAAGGTGTGTGCCTAGCCTTATGCTTCTACTTTTACTGCCCAGTCACAGACTTGGGATGGTACAAAACCGGAAAGTGCTACTTAACTGCAGAAGAGAACAATCAGGTCACTTCTCTATTAGACAGGGCTGTGCTGTGTGGCAGAATCTCAGGTCGAAATACAAATTAGTTATAAGAAAAATATAATTTTATCTGTGTATTTATCTGTAAATCTGAAGCCAGAACAGGTCTGTATGCATATGGGGGTCGATTTTAAATTTTTCCTGATGTATACCTTTTGAAAATGGATAAATAACATAAAAAAAAGAAATAATCTACCAAATGAACTGCCAAAAATATCAGCTCTACAGATTGATGTTTTAATGACAATCATTTACAAAAGATCTTTTTACACAAACAATCTCTCTAGGATGGTTGAACGTTTGACTCAGAATCACAAGTTATGTCACACCTCTACGTTATGCCTATGAATAGCTTAAAGGAGAACTATGAGGTGAGTGCTTTTCACTCACCTCAGAGTTCTAGCCGACCTGTGACAAAGACTGTAACAGGTCGGCTCAGTAGATCGGGAGGTGAGCGAACACATACCAGCGTTTGCTCACCTCTCTAAACTGTCACGGCTGGATTCCCCCCTCCCTGCTCCGATCCGCCAGCGCTGACTGGCGGAACGGACGGGGGAGGGGGCTGGTACAGCTGGGTCTGCCTCTAGATAGGCAGAGCCAGCTGTCAGTCACGCAGCTGGGCGGATCTCGACATCGATGTCGGGATCCGCTCCGGCTGCGGCGTCTCAGTATACTGAGCCTAGGGTGACGGGAGAACGCTAGTTTGTGTCCTCCCGTTACCCTAAGGAGAACTATGGGGAAAAGCCTTAACCCCATAGTTCTCCTTTAAAGGAGCAGTCCAGTTAGTTTCTATCTGATGTAGTGAAGGTTTTCTTGTTTCCTTTTCCATGTCTTGTGTTCTTCAGGGATTCTTGTTCTTCAGCAAAGGTCCCAAATCTTTTATGCTTCATAGATCTTCTGCACACCTCCAGCTTACTGGCATTGTGCAGCCTCTTTATGTGCAGCCTCTTCGTGTGCAGCCCAACTGTCAACATACCCACCTGTAGTTCTTCGGGCTACAGAGGTGATGCAATGTCACTGGTTCTGCTATCAGTACAACCAGTGTGGAGGCGCACTGCCTGTTGGGACATTTTGTCCCTAAGCAATGCACACTGGTATTAGTTTAGTGAGGTGTGCACCACTAAGGGACTGCCAGCAGGCTTTGTGCCTGCTTGCTGGTTATACTGGTAGCAGCACTAGCTTTATTGGATAGATGAATAGTGAATATGGGACAGTCAGATAATCTTCACTAAACTAAATCTAAATCTAGTATTTCAAGGGCACAAGAAGAAAAACATGAGTGCATAATGACAAGGTGTGAAACAAGGGGATTTATGTTTTTAGTAGTTCAAGCAGTCAAGAGCAACAGGTACTGCTTAATAATAGTCTGGCCGACAGCACACTAGCCTTCCATTAGCTCCATTGCAATCTGTTTAGGCACCGGAAGTGAAGACAAATACCCAGTACTTCCGGATATGGAGGAGCATGCGGCTCACTTTCTTTGGACAGTGCTAGTGCTTAGTGATTGGCAGCTCAGGTAGCCAGCACTGTCACATGAGGGCAGAATCCACAAGCTTTTGTTGACTCCTAGGTATGACATAGAGCTTCCACAGGGCTTCCGCTCTTCATTTACAGCAGCTGAACAGAGCAGAGGGGGAACAATGGAAGGGTAAGTATGCAATTAAATGGAACATGTTGTTTTGCCTTGATGAGCAAACACCTTTAGTTGACATTATGGTGATAAAAGATATCATGTGTATTGACTCACACCATTTGGATTTCAGCTTTTAGCAGTTAGCAAAATAAGCCTTTCAATGAAAGGAGACTTCTGATTGGTATTGCTCTTTGAACCCTAACCTTTTTCTGATTAAACTTTGATGTAATGATGATAATCTGTATCTTCCTAGCTGGCAAACCCTTTGCTTGTGAATACTGCCACTTCACCACAAAGCATATGAAGAACCTGAGTCTTCACGTCCGGAGTCGCCATACTTACTTGTTTCAGGAGTGGTCGCAGCGCCATACTGAGGAGACACGTTGTCGCCGCCGGCCATATTTTTCTCACCAGCAAATTGAGCAACTGAAGCTGCAGCAGCAAGACCAAGCTGAAGCCCAGAACCCTTCGGAGCCCTATGCAGAAGTGAGTAGACAGACATAATACAGTGACAAAGAATGTTCAGTAATAGCTCCTAGAGGTGAGTTAACTGATCTGTGATTCACAAATAAAGTAAACCAAAGCGGATCAGATAATTGTCTACTGGTATGCACAGGTGAATCAACAATGCCTTTGGTGTAGCAGCTACTGAAAAGTCACTTCAGGTGGAAATGTTTGTTCTGATGAATCAATTTAATATATATATATATATTTTTGTATCAGGGTCAACCCAAAGAGCTCACCTATCACCTGCTACACCCACAATCTCAGGAGGAAACGCAGGTAGAGGATACACTGGAAGGTGCTACTATCATATATGAACAAGGTGAGAGGATTATACGTTTTTTTTATTTTCATTTTGGAATTTTCCAATATGGTTTTAACACTTTGTGTGCATAGTTTAGAGACAGGGATTGATCTAATATTATGGAGCAGAGAGAGGTGTCTGTGGTCCTATGAATCCTACGATATGTCTGCTAGGACACCTGTGTGGCTTGGATTGTGAAGATGCCTTGGGCACTGCAGTATCTGGAGTTTAATTTTTTGTCAAGAAAACAAATCAAATTGAAGGGAATCTGTGGTCAAGCTATGGCTATTTTAACAAGCAATAAATGAGCTTTAACCCTTTCGTGATCGATGACAAGATTATCCCATCACCATTGTTCAGTATGTTAACGACTGGTGACGGGATAATCCCGTCATGTGGTACAATGAGCGCTGGTCTGTGAAAGGACCAGCAGCTCATTGAGTTACTGCTGTTGATAGGTCCCTCGGAGTCTGAGGCAGACCCTCAACAGCAGATTGGGTGGTCACAGTTCTGCGATCACAATGAGAGCTGTTCGCAACTGGAAATGCATAGACACCAGTCCTCCTCCCTGTCTAGGCAAGTCCAGTTGCCTTGACTTATTTTTTACAGATATGTCCGTGCACATGGTTGGGTATTTTTTGCAAAGTGAACTTTCACCACATTCACTAAGCTAACTGGGAATTCCCATGCAAAATGATAATTCACTTTGTCCTACTGCTTGAGAAAATGAACTCTATTGACTCGAACAGCCTATTTCTATGGCCTGTATCACCACATGTTTTCCTCTACAGGGCCTTAAATTGCAGGTTGGTACATTTTGACATGGCAGAACATAAGTGAATATTAAAAAGAATCACATTTCTTCTCTTTTAGATGGAGAAGGAGATGAACTTGCAACTCAAGCTGCTCTCGATCTCCTTTTGAACATGAGTGCCCAGAGAGATGTCAGTGGAGGACCACTAAAAGTATGTTTTATTAATGAATGTGGCCATGATTAAATCCTGATTATCAGAAAGCATACAAACTTTAGTTCTATAACCAGGTTAGTTTAGAGATTTGACATGACATAACTAAACTAATAACTATAGAATATTTTAGACAACTCTGTTGTAAAAAAAGGTCAAAAAGCACCCTATAAAAGAACATTAAGTGACACTAAACTCGGGAATTAAATCCTACAAATACATTCAAGTACCATACCTACTAACAAAAATGTATCTTATTTGTGTATCACTCGGCTGTAGATCCTCCAGTCATCTCTGAATTCGTTCTGACACTTTCCTTCCTTCTGGAGGTGGCTACTTTTGTTCCCCTTGGTCCCTGTGTGTGTGTTGTAAAGTAGCCACCTCTCCAAGCTCACTCCTGTGATGGACCACAATCTCACTTTTAGTTTATTAATTTGTATTGAAGTTAATCACAGGAGTGAGCTTGGAGCGCTAGCTAACAGCCACCCTCCAGAAGGAAGGACAGTGTCAGCACCAATTCAGAGATGACTTGAAGATATACGGCTGTGTGATACACAAATAAGATACATTTTTGTTAATAGTTTAGGTACTTGAATGTATTTGTAAGATTTATTTCCTCAATTTAGTGTCACTTTAAGCCTACTTACCAGTCCTGTTGCCGATGATTTGAATCTTTGCTATCTTTTAAAGCTGGAAAATACAGTAGAATCTTCAACCTCCAACACTTCAGGGTGTATCAAATGACTGCCTTACCCACTGTATGCTGTGGTTCCATCCTCTGGCCACTACCCCGGTACAGTTCACTAAAGAAACAATAGTGGCGTAGCTGGTGGAACCACAATACACAGCATGAGCACAGCCATCTGTCACGCCCAGAAGTGTCAGATACTGAAGACTCTACCCGACATTCTAGTACAGCAAAGACTCATTTTACCAGAGGATGGACTTCTAAATAGACATACTGAACGGAATTTATCTAAGCTGGAGCAGACAAAATCTGGAGCAGATATGCGCAGCAGCCAATCAGCTTCTCTCTTTCATTTTCAAATCTTAACTGAATAAACTAAAGAGAAAAGCTAATTGGTTGCCATGCACAGCTGCTCCAGATTTTGTCTGCTCTAGTTTTGATAAATTCTCCCCACTGTTATTTTCCAAGGTGCTTTCTTTTTTTTTCTTGGGGGGGTGGGGTGGGGGGGGGAGGTGACAGAGTCACTTCAAAAAGAAACTCCATTTAAAAAAATACAAATGAAAAAATTGTCAAAAAAATAATACAGCATATATAACTGCCACACAAGCCATTGTGGCCATTAAAAATGATCTTTCCATTTTGAAACTGTCCAAAAATTCAATGCAAAATGGCAACGTGGGGCATTGTGTACACAGTTGGTGTACAGAACACCCCCAGAAATGTTACTTCCTGCTTCTGTGATTGGCTCACTGATTTTCAAAGAAGTCTGCTCTAAGATAGCATTTTAAGCACCCCTTGTAATAAGAATCTTCATTTTTGGTGAGATACTCCCTAAGGCCCCGTTCACATTGCGCGATTCGCAAATCGCACGTATGTCGCACGATTTTCATTTCGCGCGATTTGTCGCGCAAATGCTTGCATTGAGCAAGCGAGAATCGCAGCAAAATCCGCTCCAAAAAGGGTCCTGCTGTAGCGACACACGACCCGCGACAGCAGGACCCTTTGCCCCATTGAGATGCATTGAAGAGCGATATCGCGGGAATTACCACGCGATAAATCGCTCAATGTGAACGGGGCCTAAGGGTTAACTACTTCTAAAGGGATGCAGACACTGCACCTTTCCTCATTACAACACACAAAGTCCACCAGCTGATTATAATGAACCCGGACCCTACTATTCAGGAATCAGTTTGCAAAGGACATGCTGAAACAAACTGCTATTTCTTCAGAACAGAAACGGGTAGAAATCTGCAACAAAGTGTGTTTAAATCCTTGCAATATACATTGATCACCAAGATGCAATTTATTTTTTCTCAACAAAAGTGGAGTTACCTTTTAAAGGTTTCTGTGCTGTGTTCAGAATATAGAATTTAGACTCTTCTGTAAAATGAAGTTGCAATGAATTTCTGCCCTTTGTGCACAGTCGCTGCTCTTTGCTTTAGATCAGAGGAGGAGTTTTCACTAACTGTAGTTACAACTGTGTAGGTGGCAGTGGTTAAATCGATGGACAACCAGCAATCAGAGGTCACATCACAGGAGCCTCACATGGCTCAAGTGCTAACGCTGCACATGGATGACAGACAAGTCACGGACATGCAAGAAGCAACTTATGAAGAGTCTGCTGTGTCAGAGGCTGGCTATGAAGGAGAAGTGCAGCAAATCACTATCAATACAGCCTTCACCACTGCAGAATACAGCCTTGTAAATGCAGAGAGCATGCAAGCACCACTATGCAGGTAAGACGATGGTCATAAGTACACAACAAGGAGGAGAAGAACTCAAGACACACTATAGTGCCCCAAACTAACTAGCTTGTACTTTCAGCAATAATGATGCCCTTTCTAGAACTTCACAAATACACCTGAGTGACAGTGGAAAGGATGGGAATACCCTCCAGATCCTGAACAAGGCACCACAAGTAAGAACATCATGCTGCATCCTCAAAATAACCATAGCTTTTCTATTATTCTCTGTTAATGTGTGTTGTTGTCTCATCTAGGTCACTGAAAGCCAGGATCAAGCTCTGCCTTTAGGTAAGAAGTACTCTTGCAAAATTTGCAAGTGTACCTTCTGGGGCCGGGCAGAAATGGAAATTCACAAAAAGGCACATATTGAAGGGCGCGACGGGTTCAAATGCCCAGATTGCAATTACACTGCAGACGATTGGACTGAGGTCAGGGTAAGATGACCTGTCTCTACATCCTTTAGACTCTTTAGGACAGCATCTGCACAGAAACGTCAGCAGCCTGCATTTAAGACTCATGATGTTTTCTCTTGTCCTATTTTATTTGCATTTTCAGCTGGAAATGATTGTGTGTTTATGTTTGACATTCTTTTCTCACCGTTAGGATCACATGTCTGTACACTTCAACCTCCGGCCTCACCGCTGCAATCAGTGCAGTTTTGCCTCCAAAAATAAGAAAGATCTAAGTCGACATTTAATGACTCACGCTAACCTCAGGCCCCATTTATGTACTTTGTGTGGACAGAGGTAGGATTGGCTATCTCAACAAGATTTTATTTTGTTTCGCATTCTTTTTTTGTTTGATCTTTTTTTCATTTCTTTTGTTTTCTACAAATATTTACTCTTTAGTTTTCTTTAGCCTGTTTTTTTATTTTTAGTGTATTACAGTTCTATTTGAAGGTGATCTAAACCCAATAACTAAAATCTGTATAATTCAAATAAAACCTGGTAACCCTGTCATGAAGGTGCTTGTTCAGGCACCTCCAGATATAGGCTCCCAACTGTGCTCTTAGGTTGTCAACCTAGAAATGTGTTTCTGGGGGAGATTACAAGCGGCCAGTCTGACCCACATTGCCAGGCATGGTTCGCCATTCATGGTATTATCAAGCCAGCCCAGACTAATGATGTGTAGTTGACACTAGAGCAAATTCATGTAGATAGGAAGTAGTTGTCAGGTGACAAACTCTTTGTCACCCTAGGTCTGGAAGTGTGTTGCTGATAGGATCATCAGGTGAAAATAAAAGGAAAAAAGCCTAAAAAAAAAAAAAGAAATCCAATGCAACCACCACATCTAATGGCTGGTTAGCTGCAGTATATTATATTTTTGTTTTTTTGGGTTTCAGATACATTTGAACTCTATTGTAAACAGAGTTTTTTTTTCTCTTAGACATCCAGATCAAGTTTAGCAGGATTGGTATGCCTCAGTTAAGCACTTGAGTCCCATGTGCCATAGCCGGCATCTAGCAATAAGCCAGAGCGCTGAAACGATCAGCTCCTTGGCTTTGGATTTTGCTCCACAGCGCTCCATGGGATTTCTAGCAGATCGCTGTAAACCAAATGCTTCTGCATTATATTTGTAGTGTAGTGACGTCTTGGCATTTCTTCTAGAGGCTGGGACAGAGCTGTTGCAGATCTGTCCGCCTCCCTGCAACAATAGATCATTGCTATTGTGATCCATTGCTGGCTGATTGCAGCTGCCATTAGAAGTGATCTGCTGCTGCACAGTTGCATGGGTAGTCAGGATCAGGTCTCAACTGGCCATATCCAGAACCCTCCCCAAAATAAAAATGGGGAAAACAATTATAAAAGCAGTGGTATCAGCAAAACAGTGGAATCAGCAAAGAGTTAAAGCATTCAAAAATCATTTAGATACTTTCCTCAGAGAACGGAACATACAGGGGTACAGGTACCTTTTGTCGCCTGGAACAAAGGTTGAACTTGATGGACCTTTGTCTTTATTCAACCTCAAATACTATGCAACTATGGAAAAATAAATAAAAACGGCAAGGGTTAACTGCTCATTTGTGTCTAGGGAAATGGTGAACAGACATTTATGTACCTGATCCATACTCCCTGAGCAATCAGCGCTCACCTCTATCCCCTCCACTCCAGCTTGTGGATTGTCCCGTGGTGTCCTCACATATAATACAGGACTATGGGCCCTGCATTACATGGGAACGATGTCAGCAGGTCACCCATGGGGGGGTCGCTAGGGTCGGGCGGGTAACAGGGCGTGGACGCCTGTCTTGGAGCCTGTGCAAGCTGGCGTCCATTAAGTAAAAGTGCTTTACAGAGGTCCCATAAACAAAACCTAGCAGTTATGCATTGCAGTGACGGGGTAGCCCCACTGCAAGGGGAGTTTATTGTTTTTGTTTCTGTTTTCTAACTAGAGATGGGCTTTAAGATGGAGATTTGTAGTGACTTTCAAAGTCTTCCTGTTGTATTCCTCTCAGGTTTTCCAGAAAAGGCCACCTAAAATTCCATATTGAGCGGCTGCACACAGAAGTCAGTTTAGAGCAGCCTGAGCAATCAGGTAAGCAGTACATAAAGTATATACATGTGGATGGATGTACGGACAAACAGAATGAGACTCATTGTAAGTGTATTTGCAGAACATTCATCTCTACCAGCCCTGGATGAAGAGCACATATACCTAACCCAGGAGGAAACCATGAGTACTCAGGTTAGCACAGAAATGGGATTTTACCATTGAAATGGAGTTTCGTGTGTGTTTTTTTTGTTTTTGTTTTTGTTTTGTTTTTGTCTAAATGCTGTTTGAATATCCTTCAAGATGTTTCATCATTAAAGGGGGGCCTCTAAAGTCTGACATGAAGTAGTGCCTTTCTTCATTACATGCAGACCATATGCAAAAGCATGGTATGCACAAAAAAGAGTGTCAAAAGCCTATGATCTTTGTATGGCCTTCTGCTTTCTATATTATGCCAGTGCGTTTTGTATACTACAGGGGCAGCAAAGGGGCAATGCAAATGGATGGTTGACTTTTACCACCCTCCCCAACTGCCTACCTAAAACTTTACATGGCAGCCACCCACGTGGGGACCTATGTAAGCGTGTCCATGTTTGGCAGGTGGTGCCGCTTGCAAACATGACAATTGCAATCAATGGGACCGCACGGTTGTGGCGCAGTAATGCAATGCAAAATCCCCACTGCGGGAGAAAAAAGAAAAGCCAGCATTCAGGAAATAACAGTATTGCTTCCTAAGCGCCTGTTAACCAGCTGTCAACTGCCTTCTGAAAACTGAACCACCGCAGATCACATTATAGAGGGCACCTCATGTGTCCAAAACTAAAAAAAAAACACTTTTGGCTGGAGTTAGGCTTCAATTTCTCATGCCGATTTTTGAAAGTACACATTTCTCTTATAATTAGTGTTTCCACCAGCCATGTTCTAGGTCAAAGCCGCATCATCGTGTGTACATCTTGACACCAATCTCTTCTCCCACTCTAGGATGACACGGCTTATATTCAGGAAATTACAACTGCCGATGGACAGACCCTTCAGCAGCTGGTCACATCGGACAGCCAGGTATTGTCCTGTTCCCGTTTTATTATGGATGACCAGCTTTTTACAGGCAATGCATGAGTGCTGGGCAAAATGTCATTTGGTAAAGTAATAAAAGCTAGCTGAGAGGTGCGAGGTTCAAATGGAAACTGGAGGTTTTTTTACTTATTTATAAATCTGCCTTTCTTTTGCCTTCAGTGGTTCCCCCCTCGCTACTTATCAACACGCTAATAAAATTTTTACATAAAACCTTTTGGATTTACATTACATACCATATTTTAAACTCAGTGATGTCATGACCGAGCTTCGCTATGCAGTGCACGTAGATTGTGGCTGATGGGTGGGGCCTGGCAGGGTGCTGTACATAGCTTCCTGAAAACATTATAGCACCCAACTTCAGAAAAAGAGCCCTCAGCACTGATGCAAGCAGTTGGCTGGCTCTTGGGAGGAGTTATGCAAATAACAAAATGACTCGATGGGTGGAGGTCAGTGTGATGGAGAGGGTGCCCCTAGGCAGGATGTGCAAAACTACAGAACACCTACCCCACTGGTCTCTTTATAGTGAGGAGATGCTCTGTAGCTCTCATTGAGTCAGCACAGGCAAAGAGCACAAAGTTGCTCCCTGGATTTCTGGCAGGATTCTAAAGAAACAAAAATATTTAAAAGACCAAAGTTACCTAAAAACGAGAAATACATTTTTAGGGTTTATATACAAGGGTATGATAGGGTTAATGTCAGGGGTTATTCTGTTAAGGGTTTGAAGAAAAGTAGTATTTGGGTCAGAGGTTATACAGTTGAGGGGTAGGATAGGGTTAGTGTCAGGGTCAGAGGTTATACAGTTGAGGGTTAGGATAGGGTTAGTGTCAGGGTCAGAGGTTATACAGTTGAGGGTTAGGATAGGGTTAGGGTCAGAGGTTATACAGTTGAGGGTTAGGATAGGGTGTCAGGGTCAGAGGTTATACAGTTGAGGGTTAGGATAGGGTTAGTGTCAGGGTCAGAGGTTATACAGTTGAGGGTTAGGATAGGGTTAGTGTCAGGGTCAGAGGTTATACAGTTGAGGGTTAGGATAGGGTTAGTGTTAGGATAAGGGGTTATACAGTTAGAATAGGGTTAGTGTATAATGGGAAGTGAGTAAAGACTTCAGAGCTCTCTAATAACTACCACTTTCTTCCCTTAGGTGCAGTATATTATATCACAGGAAGATGTTCCTCATCTAATTCCCCAAGAGTATGTTGTGCTCCAAGAAGGCCACCATATTCAGGTAACCATGATGTTCCTGAAAGTTTATTCTGCCTATATTTTGCCTTCCATTGTTCCTCCCTTCCCCCTTAATCCACATACTAATGAAAAATATACAATAACCGTTTCACTTTTTTTAGATACCTTATTTTAGACCCATTGATGTCATGATTGGGTCGCTGAAGTTCTCTATACAATTCAGGCAGATCATGGCTGGTGTGGGGGGGGGGGGGGGG